AGTCCATCACAGTCTCCAGGGTGAACGAACTCGTAGCGTTGGATATCCTGGGGCCGTTTCCCGCCACCCCTAGGGGCAATAGATATTTGCTAACAGGGGTCGAATACTTCACACGCTGGCCTATGGCCTGGCCCCTGGCAAATCAGTCGGCAGCAGCCATCGTGGACGCCTTTGTCCAAGGCTACGTCATGGACAAAGGTGCTCCGGAGCGGCTGCTGACCGACCAGGGTAAAAATTTTTCCGGGAACCTCCTCAAACAAGTCTGTGATCTCCTAGGTACAAAGAAGATTCGTACCTCTCCCTATCACCCACAAACTGACGGGATGGTCGAGCGTCTGCATCGTACCATCACGTCTATGTTGTCGCACCTGGTTTCGGAGTCACAGACCAATTGGGACTTGCAAATTCAAGGGGTCCTGGCAGCATATCGATTGGCCCCCCATGCTGCCACGGGATTTTCACCCTTCTTTCTCATGTATGGTCGCGAACATGACCCACCTGTTCGGGCACAGCTGCAGATCCCCGCGCCTCTAGGTAAAATTAAATTGGACGAGCACGTTAAATTTAACCTTCAAAAGCTAACTGAGGCGCGGGATGCTGCCATGCTCAATTCCCGCATGCGCCAAAAGGCGAATGAGCGCCTCAGACTTGCGCGCGCGCACGTGCTGCAGTGGAAGCCAGGGGACAGGGCATGGCTGCACTGTCCCCAGGTACCGCTTGCGACCTCCTCGAAACTGGTACGGCCATGGCGGGGCCCCGTCGAGGTGGTCGAGGTTTTGCGACCGCAGTGCGTTCGTATCAAGTGGGGGAGGCGCCGGTGGTTCGTTCACCCCTCTAGACTAAAACCCTTCGTTGCGGTGCGGGACTCTGCTCCACACGCGCAGGGCCAAGCATGTGAGGGGTCGACCGACCCGGAGGGTCCGCCTCTGTTGATCTCACCTGACGTCTTGCCGGTTGCCCCGCCCCCAGGTTCTCCCGGAATGACGGGCTCGCGCACATCCCTCACGGGGGATGCCGAGGGTCCCGCCACTCCAATTGCGGACTCGCCTCGGATGGGACAGCGGCCACCGAATGGTCCGCCATCTGAGGTTGGCCCTTGTGACGGGCCTGCGGCAAGGACGCGCGCTAAAATGCGCAGACTCTTATAAAAACACTGGAACGCGAACAAGAAGTGAAAACGAAACGAAAATAAGAAGAAAATTTTTTTTATTTTTTTTGCGTTTTCTGGTACACTTTCGTGTGCTATTGTTGCTGGACGCTGCGTTCGTGTGGCGCTCTTGGCGCGTTGTTGTATTATGGCTGTGTGTGTGTGTGCGTCTTGTGTGCGTGTTGTGCGTGCGCTGAGGGTTCCGGGAAATGTACATATCTTGCCTCTACGGATTTCGTATTTATTCGGGGGGGGGGGGCGCGTCGGTTTGTTCTCCCTTTAGGGGCATTGTTAGTGTTGTTGTTTAATTCTCGTTCTGTTAAATGGAAAAAAAATGGGGCACACACGGGGGGAGTCAAGGGGTAAAGATTCATTTGTTGAAATTGTTGCAGCCGGGACGGCTGCGAGCTATGCGGGGGGGGAGTGATGTAGGGACGTTGGAGAGAGGGCCGTTATGCATGGCAGCCTATGGGAAAGAAACACAGTGGGCGGGGCTACGTGTGTGCACAGGGAGATGCCCTCTGCGACGTCCGAGCCAGACACCCTGGGGGGGGGCTGGTTCGGCGTTACGATCCCCCGGGGCCCCACCCCTCAAGGAGGGTTGGGTATAAAAAGGGGTCGTTATATGGGCTTAGTCAGTTATGTTATAGTTAAGCTAAGAAGTCGGAAGACGTCGTAGCTAGAGCCCTGGACTCCCCCTGATCGCCGCCCTTATCAGGGCCCCACGGGATCAGGCTCGAGCCAGTGGCGTGGTCCCGTGAACCAGAGCCAGTGCTCTGGGACTCCGGGTACCGAGCCCGATTACCAGTGTCGGGCCAGACAGCCTCCCCTAGCTCTTAGTGGAGGACTCAGGGGATAGGCTATGGATAGCTAGGGGTATTCCCTGAGTTATACGGGTGAGGGGGCCGCTACCCCCTCTAGGGCTGTCCTGTACTGGCAACTTGTTAAATAAATATACGTGTGCCTCAACTCCGTTGTCAAGCGTCCTCGACGGGTACTTCACTAGTAACCTGGTAGATTCTTAAAAGAAAATTAATTGGGTGCCTGCTATTGACCTCCTTTGTAATCTGCTTTTATTAATTTCGGTTTTTTGACATAAAAGTTGGGGCATGCCAAAGTCTGAAAGTAAATCTCCCGCCTGTTGAAAGGGTGCCAATTATCGCACTGTCATGTCGCAAATCCTCACGGCAGCGAACGTGCGAGCGATCGAGTGATACAAATGTTGGACTTTTGCACTTTAATATTTGTCTCAAATGTCCCTATCAACATCATCATCACGATCTTCTTCTTTCTATGTGGCACATTGCAGAGATGAGCAATTGCTAACTTTTTTTAACGGCACGAGGCTCTTCTGCACAATTAGCTTAACGCGCACGATCGTAATCACCGTCGGGCGGCGGTGGTTACGCTCGCCTGCAAGTCAGCACTTTGGAGGCAAGGGTTAGTGGATCACACGAACGTCGCGAAACTGCCTTCCCCGTTGACATTGAGGTGCCACACCCTGGCTTGCCAGGAGAACACGGTCCAGCAAAGTGTGGACGCCACCTGTTCCATCTGCATCGGATGTAGTGTTGCCCCACTGGCAACATTCATTAACATTCATTAATAGTAGAGAGCATCTTCTTGGTTCTTTCGGTAAAGTCACGTCGAAGGGAAATAATAAAATAATAAAAATAAAACATCATAAAATATTCTCACGACGTTTTCGGCCACAACGCAAGCAGCCGTCCTCAGGTGAAGAACAGGTCTGTCGGAAAGACAGCGTCTTGTATGAAAGACAGCGTCTTTCCGACAGACCTGTTGTTCACCTGAGGACGGCTGCTTGCGTTGTGGCCGAAACATCGTGAGAATTATTTTATTATATTCTTAGGTTTTTTTCGGTAAAGTCACGTAGGTAAAATCATAAAAAAGTAAAATAAAATAAAAATCACGACGTTTCGGAGGCAACACAAGCTTCCGTCTTCAGGTGGTACCGTCACAGCCACGACAGCTGTATCAAGTAAATGAGAGATTGCAGGAGTGGTAGCTCCTGCAATCTCTCTCAATCTCTCTCATTTACTTGAAGATGGAAGCTTGTGTTGCCTCCGAAACGTCGTGATTTTTATTTTATTTTACTTTTTAATGTTTTTACCTACGTGACTTTACCGAAAAAACCTAAGAATATGAATCATTGCAGTCACGAAAGCTTCAAATCTAGAATTATTTTATTATGTTTTATTTTTATTATTTTATTATTTCCCTTCTACGTGACTTTACCGAAAGAACCAAGAAGATGAATCCCTGCAGTCACGAAAGCTTTAAATCAAAAGTAGAGAACATCTTTATATAGAGAGGACCGCAGACATGTGGTGGGGGGACGGGGCGGGATTTGGTGCATCCCGTTACTCGTCTGATTCCTTGCATCGCTGAGTTGTTCTCTCGCTTTGAAAGCGACGGAACATTTTTGCATCCACGCGTTTACAAATTGAGACTTTTTGGTATTGTTACCGTCATGAGCTGTCATAAAAGTACTACATTGCTACAGTACCATAATGCCAATCATCTAATTACATGTGATTATTGTGTTATATGTACAGGATATGTTCACTTAATGCCATTTTAAAGGTCACACATACTTTGTTTAGCCAAATGAAGCAAATGTAATTTCCATTCTCGCTTTCTTCAAAAAATGTTTGTTACAATTTGTCAAATTATGACACTGACACCTAATGGTCTAATCTTGTAATTGGTGACACTCGCACATAATAGACTTTGTGCCATATTGTATGTGCTTATAAGAATAGTATACAATGAGTCTGCTCTTCTGCAGTGGTCTTCCAGTCCAAATAAAAACCTCTAACTTTACCCACCCACTTCAGCCCATTACATTCGTTGTATTTTTATTGACGTGTTCTCCCCTTTATCGTTGTGGACGGCAGAGGGCAGTGCAAGAATAATCCATTGTTGTACTGTACTGTAGTATGCTCCCACTTACATGCTGCCCACTTTCACCAGCCCCCATGGCCAAATAATTCCCATGACCCCACGACCTATGGGGAGGCCCTTAGCACGGGTGGCTACGTACGGTGCGAAAGAAGTTCAACATACATGCACCCAGCATGGGTGTTGATAAGAAGGCCATACATGTCCATCCCCTTGTTTGCTATTGTTCACCACGTACCGGGTGATCGATCCACAGATGCGCCACTAAAATGACGAGGGAGAAATGCGAGAGAAAACAACAAATTCATTTCAAAAGCCTCCACGTGTCTCCCATCAATCGCGATACACTCTTATCTAGTAACACTCCCCTCTGTAGGATACAAAGCCATTGCTTCCGCAACATTCAATCACCTTTTGAGAAGAACGAGGGTCATTAAAAATCAGTGGGTTGTCACTCAATGGATCACCGTGCACATTTAAGATGTGTTCCCATCATCAGTGGACAGAGTGGAAGCATTTTTTTTACAGATCATGTAAATATGTTGAACTTCTTTTGTACCCAACCGTGCTAATCGGAGGTGTGCGGGAAGGACAATAAATTAAACTCTCAAATAACTTCTAAAGAGTTTTCAATCTCGATGAGGACACCCTGTAGACAGCAGAGCCACATGCTGTCTACAAGGTGATACATCTGGCATTGACATTATAGATCAGCCATCAGCTTAAATGTTCAATTTCTTCATGACCAGGGCTCACGCAAGAGGGCCCCACTGCGCGCCTGTGGATGGTGCAATGAGGTGACCCACGTGGGTTGTCTGCCCCAGGGCCTCCAGCATGAACCTCTGTGGCGGTCCCCGTGCGTAACGCCCCCGCTCGTCTCTCTAACCCTCCTGCCCCTCTGCCCCCGGGCTTCTCCCCACCACGTGCGCAGCGCCCGACTCAATGGGCAGGAGAGCCGGAGCAGCTGCTCGCACCGCGCCTCCCCTCGCCGCGGTCCGGGCAAAACCATGAAGCTGTCGCGAGCACTGTCCGACCTGGTGCAGTACACGCGCTCTGTCGCCGTGCACGACGTCGATCACGACGGTACGCGGATGCTAGAGTCCCCTGGGCGCCGCTGTGGATAGATGTTAACTCCCTCACCTGGTTTGCAGGAGGTCGTGTGCTCGATCTCGACCGTGATGCCTGTTGTATTTTTGGAGTGTTTTTGTCTCTCTCCCCGTGGTCGTTTGGATTTTTCTCCGGATCCTCCGGTTTTCCCCTCCACATTTGCGTTTGGAGTATTTGGCTGCTATAAATATCCACGTGATAAGCCACTTCGTTGACCTGTCAATTGTGGCCAGGTCGCTTATGAAAAAAGATAATAGCTGAGTGGGCCTTACCGGGTAAAATAAAAATCGTAAATGTTTTTGTTATTTTTTAGTGATTTGGTTACCTTTCCTTTAAATTGCACTCCTGTTATGTTTTTGTGTTGTGTGTAGTTTGAACTTTCTAACCCATCCCAAATGGACATCTGTGAAAAAAAGTGCTTTATAGCTCATCAGGTTCCTCCAGTATAAATACATATTCTGATTCTGATGAATTCCTAAAAAATGTGTGTTATTAAAAGACCGCTGTTTCTTTTTCGTATCTGGGGTAATGCAGTGTTAATCCACTCCAGCTGGGCAGTTCTGTGGTTAGACCACCTAACTTTCAGTAGGAAGGGCCATAAGTTCAAATCCCCATCGGGGTCAATTAAATGGGTGCTGCTTTGCGTGGGAATTCAACAGCGGTTTCTGCGGAGATGGCAATGATGAACTTCCACCGCTGGCACATAACAACCCCATTGGAGATGAACACGATCCAACGCTTGTTCGAATGTAAAGTTTTTCAGGCTGCAATTTTTTAAAATTATTGTCCTATTTTCAAAGTGATCACATTGTGGTATATTCCTGTACAGGCTGTGTTGATGTCTCGGAACCTCGCGAGGGGGTATTTCACTGTCTCTCTCTCTCTGTGTCTGTCTGCAGCGGTGGCAAGCAGCTGGCAAGTGTCGTCCTTCAGTGAGAACAAGGCGAGCCAAATGCTACAGCAGAAATCGCAGGCGTTCCTTGCCTTCAACCAGCGGCAACTCTCACGCATCTACCCTTCCTCCTACCGCGTCGACTCCAGCAACTTCAACCCGCAGCCCTACTGGAACGTGGGCTGCCAGATGGGTGTGAACATCGCCCATTTACCCAGGGGGAGAATTTTTGCGTGCAAATGTTTGATTCCCAGCCAAGGCAAACGTAACAGGCAATCATCTGTGATGTTGGCCTTGGCTGGGTTGATCTTGACATCTGTATATTTGGAGTTTGCATGTTCTCCCCGTGGTCGTGTGTATTTTCCCTCCACGTTTAGAATCAACGTGCTGTTTAGAGTATTTGGCTGTTATAAAAATGTCCATATGATAAACCACTTCGTTGAGCTATCGTTTGTGGCGAGGGTGGATGAGATTGGTGATAGAATTGTAGCCAATGGAGAGAACACACCTGGGAGGATGGCCACCTTGGAGACAGAGCGATGAGATTAGCTCATGTGCAGGAGTGGGATTGTTTCTACCATCTCAGGACTTGTGTGGGATTGCAGTGGATAGATAATGGCTGATGAAAATGATGAATGTCTAAAATAACATATTGGGCTCATGATGCATGCATCATGTCATAGGAGCAGATATTATCTTCATGCAAATATGAATACTATTCATGCAAATTATATTCACACTGTACGCTATTGCCGTATTACCTTTAGCTGATGGGACCAAAGAAATGGACGAAGGACACGACACAAACAAACACTGGCAAATAACACAGTAAAGAACCGATTCTTGAACCAAATTGTGACCCCCTGAATCGTAACCAGAGGTGGTTTTAGTCTCCACTTTAATGTACAATGCTGAGACAGCAAGGCCGGGTATCGAGGCCCTGCGGATCTGCAGGGTTGTCATCTCGTGTTGCTGCCAAACGAATGGGTTTGAATCTGAATCCCGTGCGTGTGCGTCTCAATGCTTTTCCTTCCAGTGGCTCTGAACTATCAGACAAGTGGACGGGTCATGGAGATGAACAGGGCTCGTTTCATGGACAATGGCAACTGCGGATACGTCCTCAAGCCCGACTGCATTTTCGATGGTGCATAAATATCTACACACATTCTAGATTTGAAGCTTTCGTGACTGCAAGGATTCATATTCTTAGGTTTTTTTGGTAAAGTCACGTAGGTAAACAATTAAAATGAATAAAAGTAAAATAAAGCCGCATCAACTCTACGTAACAAAAAGGCTCAGTCCCTTTAACACGCACCTTTACATCATCCGCACATAGTTTACACAACAAAGGCTCATTCCTAACAGCGTGCTTCAGCCGCACCGAACCTCACAACAATAATATTCAGGGCCTACCTTGGCTCCTCCCACCCTCAACCAGTATGTATACAAATACTGTGTTCTTGGAATTTATCTCTCTTGATACAGCTATCGTGCTGTGACGGTTACACCTGAAGACGGAGGCTTGTGTTGCCTCCAAAACGTCGTGATTTTTATTTTATTTTTATTTTACTTTTATTAATTAAAATGTTTTACCTACGTGACTTTACCGAAAAAACCTAAGAATATCTACACACATGTATCAGCTCAAGCCTCCCGTCATTCACGTGACTTCTGCGTGGCCACGCCTGCCCTGCATCCCTCCCCCTCTCCCCATCCTCTGCGTCTATCGCAAGGCACGAATGTCGCCTCTTCTTCCCTATCCCCGTCTCTCCCGACCCTTTGGTGTCGCTTATCTGTTCCTTTACCATACTTCTCTCATTTCACATCCTTTCTTTCTTCCCTTCCCGTTTCCTTTGTCCTTTCATTATTATATCCTTTAATCAGTTTCAGATGTTAGGAAGCAACTACAGCGATGCACTTTCAAATCTAGATTCAAAACTCATTTCTTTAGAACTGCTTTTTGTGTTTAGTTAGTTGTCCTTCCCCCACACCGCCGATTAGCACGGTTGGATGCGTATATGTTGCGAAAGAAGTTCAACATACACACGTACATCCAATCCTTAACTCTACTCCCCTTCCCATGGTGTATGGCCATGGGTACATGTTTTTTATGGATATATCATGATCATCATCACCATGGTCAGCACACTCCTGTTTCAATGCAGAGGTTTTCGGTTTTATTTCCTGTACGTATGCACGTTGAACTTATTTTGCACCACAATTTTCTGGCACGACAGTTAAAATAACATTGGGGCAATTTCTTGAAACCCTCAAACCTCTCGACATCCGGCAATATCAATGAGGACATCATCGTTAGTCAATTGGTAGGTCGCCTGTGATAACGTAAAGTGTTGGTCCTGCCACCTATTCTAATATTACCTTGTGCGGTGTGTAAACATTGCCACCTACCCCCTTGTATGCCGTTCTGGCCTTCATAGGTGCTCGCTAACAGCACTAGCCCCAGCAGCCTGTTAAGGCGACACGGGGATCTTTGTATTTGTCTACGGTGTCTGGCCAGCCTGGATTGAGTAAAGGTTTTTTTCAAGTTTCCTCAAGCGGGTGCCCTTCCGCCAGGAGTGACGAAAGCAAAACCTTTGCAGGGCTGCACCTCTAACATCACCGTCATAAATACACACAATGCAACACACTTCTGATTACCTAGGTCAGAGGCGCAAGTCTAAATCCCAGTCTGCAGTCAGCTCAACCGAGGTTTGATCCAACGTCTACCACTATCTGGGCAGTGAACAGTGGCTGTCCTATGGGAGAAACTGATAAGACTATTTTTCATAATGAGACTATTTATTCCTATTTGAATAATTAATCCGATGAGCTATAAAGATCTTTTTCACAGATGTCCAGTTGGGACGGGTCAATATCCCTGTCATACGATTGGGGAACTTATATTGTGGGCTACAGCCACCAGCTGGGATGAGCAAAATGCCGATTGCTCCTTTGAGCCTGTGGGCACATTGACCTTGGCCTGACTTGAAAGTAAAAATGATTCTTTAGAATTGCTGGTAATGGCAATGCGATTTACTCTACAAGAAATGGTAAAGAGTTTTTAATTAAATAATTTGAATGTTATTTTGGAAAGCTCCTCTCAGTCTCAGGACGTTTTCAGTGTCCTACGTTCGGGACGTTTCCCCCAGTTCCATTGGTCACCGTGCCGAAGTGGATCTACGCATAACGTCGTTGGGCAATGTTAGGATAACAAAATGGAAATGATCGTCTATTCTTGTTTTTATCAACGATACAAATTTGAGTTCCCCATGCACAAAGAAACCCACATCAGATTGGTCACAAAATAAACAACCCACAGCGTACTTGCCGAGTGACTCAACATTAATTATAACGAATTTCCAAAGCCTACACAAGGACGTATAGTTTATGAAAAAAAAATACAGTTCCAAGCCCTCACTTCACGTATTCTCTTGATTTTGAGACACACTATCGTGCTCTCTCTTATTTTAAAACAAAGGTTGAGGTACGGTATTATATCATCCGGGCAGGTGTGCACCAGATTCGTACAGCTTTATTGACGCCCGGACACAGGTTTTTTTTGGAGGGAGGAGGGGGGTGGGGTGTGCCTGACTTTCAGGAGCATCTTCTAATCCGGGGAATACGGTAGCCAACTTGTGCCAGCGATAGGTGCCCCTACAGCAGACGGCCGTGTTCGACACCCACACACAGTGGATTTCATGCGGCACTTACAGCCAACCTCTGTTGCCCACACTGAGCCACACGCGGAGCCGCTGCGTCAGGTGACCGCTTTAACTCGTTGCGCCAGACGTGTTGACGGTAAAAAAAAAAGGTCGCACGGGGCGGAAGACGTGCAAACGCGCCGTTGCCAACTTGCGCGCGCGTGTTGAAGGGTGGTTCGCCGCGCGAAAAAGGGCACCGTTTCAGAGGACGCGTTGTCATTTTCTTCTGCGCAGAATTCGCAACAAGGCTCGCGACCGAAATCCACGCGCGCGCAAGCGTGACCTTTGGGCGTCCCCAGCTGCTCACAGCTTGAGAGGACGTCTTCTCCAAAACGCGATTTTATTTCTTTATTTGATTTACATCGACCTCTGATTTTTTTGGAGTTCCATCAAACCTGAAGTGGCCTTGCGGCGTTTTGTTACGGCATCCAGGAAAAACTCTCCAGACTGTTGCGGTTCTTCATTCGTAGCCGTTGTAGTAACCACGTGAATTGGATCCACCGCACACAGGAAAACAAAATACACCGGGCACCGACTCCTCAGGAAAGACTTCAGAAACATATTACGTGGTAAATTGGTGAACAATTAGCATGTGTTTCTGGATTGTTGTAAAACAAAAAAAACGTGTATCATTTTTTTAAGCTTCACTTTTTATTAGGCCCTGCACCATGATGATGAATAGTAATACTGTTTTAATTGTTCTTCATAGTAAAGAGCATTAAGCATCAATAACGTCACATATGAGCATTACTTTTTCTGCAAACGGTGTGGCGAGTGTTGCTACGTTGGGTATATAGAGCAGCGCCGGTGTCTCTGTGTTTGGGGTGTGTTTAGGAACCTTCCGCCCGTTCTCAGAAGACCCCTTGCCAGGCTACCCCAAGACCCAGCTCATCGTGAAGGTGATCAGTGGGCAGCAACTCCCAAAACCCCCAGACTCCATGCTCGGCGACAGAGGAGAGGTGAGTGTCTCCCTTGCTGATCTAGTCAACCATCACGCAAGCTCCAGTCATCCTCACAGCAGCGGCTTTTGGATCACCATCGAGCAAAGATGGTCACCGCATCGCGCGCTTTCAGATGCACTTCTGCGGACATCTGGAACGCGCTTCCTTCTGATATTCGGAAGCCACTAGAGCTATGCACTTCTAAATCTCAATTGAAAACTCATTTCTTTAGAACTGCTTTTCGTGTTTGGTTTCTTGTCTTGCCCCCGCACCTCCAATGAGCACGGTTGGCTATGTATGGTACAAAAGAAGTTCAGCATACATATGTAAAGACAGAAAACAACAAACCACTTATCTGACACGGTACGTGTGCAAATGGATAGTCAAGAAGTGTGTTACGGGCCTCTGTTTGGTGCAGGGAGGCCTCAAAGAGGATTGGTTAGGACCAGAGAGTTGAACTGATTGGTGGAAAGATTCAAACGTAAAAGGCGGGGAAACCAGGATGGACTGTCGGGGTAACGACTGACAACCTCTTGAGAAGAAAGAGGAGGATCGCCCGAGGGAAATGGGGTGAGCAAACCTTCGAGAAAGGGGGCTCGAGGAATGTCAAAGGGGAGCGCACAAGGGCAAGGGACAGTTGGAGAGAAGACAAAGTTTACGCATCACGAACCGAAGCCCGGTGTGACAGGCTAAACTAACCCCGGCCCCAATTAAACCCGGGTATAGTTTGGCCCAGGCCAGCGTATACCCAGGGGGATAAAGTGTCCTAGGCTAAACTACACCCCCCGGGGGTTTAAACTAGACTGGGCCAGACCATAGCCATCCAGGCCAGAACATGCCCCATGTGAAAGTTAAAAGGCAATTATCCATACAGAGAACAGCCGACAACGAGCTTCAATCGATATCTAAAAAGCGTATAAATGGAAGTGAGAATCTCAATTTGATCAATTGAAGCATTTTTAGAAGCAGTCGAAGCCAGTGAAGTCGAATACGAGCGCAGTTCCATTGAAGTGTTGCCGGAAGTCACGGAATAGGGTTTGGGTTAGGAACTAAGAACTAGAGGACTACTTGGACCAATATGTCAATGAATATGTAAACACCTCTGGCATCTCTCATGATAGAGTCTGGGCAACAGATGCCGAGATCATGGCCACAGCGAATAAATGTGTATATCGCTCAACACGATTACTATCATGGGGGTATGATTTGGCCTAGAGGGGCATAATTTGGCCTAGCCCATAATATACCCGGGTATAATCTAGCCTAGGCCGTTTTAACCCCGGGTATACTACGGCCTGTTACACCGGGCCTAGAATTAGTGTTAGTGTCCACAATAAAGGCTCGTGAGTAAAGCAAGAACGTGTGCTGGCGTCACTACACCTACATACCTGAGCGTATTCCCTCACATCCAGGAACAGAGAACCAGAGCAGCCAGCACTTCACCGCATTTATCTCAGTTGCTAAGCAAATGCCAGCCAGTGAGGCCTGTAATACAAAGGTAAATAAAGAAGGCATAGGAGAGATATCAAAAAGCTCTTTCAATTGTCATATTATATGAGGTTTGGAAGATACATATATTACAGGATTGAAACCTGCGTGTTTAACTAATCCTCCTTGTGTTCAATCCCCTCCGCTATAGCATCTCTATGCAGCAGCTGCTGCTGTTCTCATACTTTAGGTAGCCTTAGTCCAGACTCCTGCCTCCCTCACTCCCTCCTCCCCCCCCCCCTCTCAATCAGCCGCCTGACTTGTAAGTCGAAGCCTCCTATGCATGAATGTATGTTGAACTTTTAAATTTCGATTTAAAGCTTTCGTGACTGCAGGGATTCATCTTCTTGGTTCTTTCGGTAAAGTCACGTAGAAGGGAAGTAATAAAATAATAAAAATAAAACATTAAATAATTATTATATGTTTTAAATAATTATTTTATGTTTTATTTTTATTATTTTATTTCTTCCCTTCTATGTTGAACTTCTTTTGAACCGTGCATAGCCAGGTGCTAATATGACATGCGGGGGAAGGACAACAAACTAAACACAAAGCAGTTCTAAAGAAATGAGTTTTCAATCTAAATTTTAAAGTGCGCAGCTCCAGTGGCTTCCTAATATCGGAAGGAAGAGCGTTCCAGACGGCCGCAGAAGCTCATCTGAAAGCGCCACGCGATGCGGTGACCGTCTTTGTTTGAATAACAACACGAGTCCAATTTCGACCAAAACGACTGCTTTCTGTATCGGTTTATTTCTCAATGGCATTGGCTTCAACGTCGAAGAGCGTTCCAGACGGCCTACTCGTCTCTTTCAGATCATTGACCCCTTTGTGGAGGTGGAGATCATTGGGCTGCCGGTTGACTGCTGCAAGGAACAGACTCGAGTCATCGACGACAACGGTAAACAAACGCACGCGCTCATTGCGCACACACTGACAAACACACAGGCAACGCACGAAGCCCAAAGGGTCCATGACAATTATCAGCATTTCCACAAAGGCCTCACAGCTGAGGGTGATGCTGTATCAGTGTGTGTTGGGAGTTTTCACCTTCTCCCCTCTGAAGAGTCTTGAATGTTATTCATTGATGCGTGTGTAAATAAATCTTTGGTTCTTTCCGTAAAGTCACGTAGGTAGAAAAAAAAATAGCTCACGACGTTTCGATCGCCACACAAGCAAACGTCTTCAGGTGGTAAAGACGATTGCTTGTGTGGCGATCGAAACGTCGTGAGCTATTTTTTTTTTACCTACGTGACTTTACCGAAAGAACCAAAGAGTATGGATTCCTGCAGTCACGAAAGCTTCAAATCAAGCGTGTGTCATTTTTCACGTGCACGCATCTGCATTCGTGTTTTCTTTTTATTGTCGTCATCGGGTGTTTTTAGTGCAATGTTGTAATCCACATTGTCAGTGTAAGACATATCCTAGTTCAATATGCATGAATGGAGTGGCGGCTCATTGAGATATACCGTCTTGTTTAAAGTCTGCGTACGCGGGGAGTCGTAACTACATTATATTTTGCTATCATCTATCCACTGCCACCGCCATCCCTCACAGTCCTGCTGGGATGCTACAATTAATTCCACCCTTCCACAGGAACTGATCTCATTGGTGGTCGCCCGTTTGGGGGCATTCTATTTTGGCTGCCATTCCATCACACATCTCATCCATCAGTCATCTTCCCCGCTAGCCATGTCCTGCTCAAGCCCACTGACTTCCCCTCGTAAGGTCGGGCTCGTTACACACAAAGTGATTGCCACAAATGAACCGCAATACGTTGCTGATCACGGCAAGGAGCATAAACCATCACTCGAAGTCCTGGTCATCCTCGCAGAAGTGGCGTTTCGGATAACCATCGAACAAAGACGGTCACTGCATTGCACGTGCTTTTCAGATGCACTTCCGTGGCCGTCTGGAACGGTCTTTTATTAGGAATCCAATGGAGCTAAGCACTTTCAAATCTAGATTGAAAACTCATTTCCTTAGAACTGCTTTTTGCGTTTAGTTTGTTTTCCGATTCCCGCACGTCCGATCAGTACGGTTGGCTACTTACGGCGTGAAACAAGTTAAACAAACATACACAGTAACAGTCAGTATTATGTCTCTGATTTACACGTGTTCCTTGATCCATGTGTAAAGCTGTCTGTTGCACAGTCTAATTCTCAGCATGCCTCATTCTCCTCTTATTTGTGAGCTTTGCTTCAATACACATGCGGCTTTATTGTATTATTTTGACATCGTTTTTGTTGCAATCTCTTTCTTTTGCGGCTCGGACTCACACGTAACCCTCGCAAAATATAATTCCAGGGTCGGTCAGGTTTTATACCCCGGAATTTCAGACACTTACCACCATGGCCCACATGTGTCTTCCTGAGTTGACTTCCATGAAAGGAGTCTGGTGAAAACACGTTGACACGTAAATTCTGCCCAGGGAGAACCTAAGGGCGGGGGGCGTGGAATACAGAGGAAAGTTCAGAGACAAGAAGGGAAACGGGGGAATTGGGTTCTGTTCATCATAGAAGGGCTTGAAGTGGATTATATTTAATAGCTTGACACCGAGGAGGATGCTGCTATTTAAATTTTGAAGGAATAAAGGTTTTTAAATCGTTTAATTTTCCACTTCCCTTTCTACCAAGATATAATATGCTGTTACATTTCTATATATGAAAAAGTAAGCAAAGTAGGACAAATACATAGTTAATTAAATCATTTTAAAAAATCACATCATTCCTCTGGGGTTTATAAGCAGAAGCGGTGTTACAATGGTTAGCGCAATGTACGATGAACCCAGAAGCCTAAACCTGTAAAAAAATTATAAACTATTTTTATTTCACCAGGTGAGGCCCACTGAGTTACGAAGCCCTTTTTTCAGAAGTGACTTGGCCACGATTGACCGCTCAACGAAGTGGTTTATCACGAGCAATTTTATAGCAGACAAATATTCTAAACGCACGTCGATTCAAAATGTGGGGCTGTGGGGGGGGGGAGAAACCGGAGGACCCGTCCTCCTGCATACCAGGCAAGGTAGTTATCATCTCGCCATAGCGGCGCCCACAATACACATGATGATGATGAACTGGATCGGAGCAAGCACGCCAACATCAACAATGAGTGGTGCCTGCCATGGCACCGCTTCTCACCCGGCTCTTCACAAACCCATCCTGGCCATCACGGTGAAGTACAACTCCTGTGACTGACGCTTCATGCGGTAGGCCTTCATTCAGCAGTGGATTGACAAGAACCATACAAATACACGTGCACATATACCGCACCCCCCCCCTCCCCACGATACACGTCACGCTCTCTTTGTAGGCCGCCTTGCAATGCGGTTGCATTGCAGTAGAATGCTAATAAATTCAAATTGCATTTGAATGTGGGAATTTGTGCAGCACAAAGTGAATTCACACAATGCTGCTTATCGCCCCTTCCCAGACTACAGGCCAGTGGCTCGTTGGCAATGGCTCTCCCACTCTCTCTGCCATACGTTGTGCTGCTGACTTGCTGCCCATCCTGATGTTCCTCTTTGGTCAAACACCACTGTCGCCCACTCCTGTCTTCCATCCTTTTGGCAAGGTCTTCCCCATCAATGTCCCTCTTATCACCGTGACCAGTGCTCGCGCTGCAAGTTTTGGATGGTGCACTCATGTCGGTGCCGTTTGAGTATTAACATTACTTACTAACGATGCAACGTAGGATCCATCTTCTTGGTTCTTTCGGTAAAGTCACGTAGAATGGAAATAATAAAATAATAAAAATAAAACATAATAAGATCATTCTCACGACGTTTCGGCCACAACGCAAGCAGCCGTCCTCAGGTGAAGACCAGGTCTGTCGAGGAGACGCGGTGAAGACCTGGTCTTCACCTGAGGACGGCTGCTTGCATTGTGGCCGAAACGTCGTGAGAATTATCTTATTATGTTTTATTTTATTATTTCCATTCTACGTGACTTTACAGAAAGAACCAAAAAGATGAATCCCTGCAGTCACGAAAGCTTTAAATCGAAATTCAACGTAGGATCGTTAAGACGGCCCCTCCGTAATGCCGCCTGCTTTGTGCGCGCCTCTTGAGCAGGCTTCAACCCCGTGTGGGACGAGACTCTGGTGTTCACGCTGCACATGCCGGAGATGGCGCTGATCCGATTCCTCGTGTGGGACCACGACCCCATCGGCCGAGACTTCATCGGGCAGCGCACCATCTCCTTCAACGGCATGATGCCCGGTACGCTGGCAGGCACCCTCTCCTGCAGCCGTGCTGTGAACCGTGTTTGCTCTGTTGCAGTTCATCATCATGAGAATAATGATGCATTGTGTTCAGCTCCTTGTGTGTTTTCGAGTTGCAGCATGTGTTGTTCGGCACGACGTCCGACGTTTCGCTTCACGTGCCCGTAGCTTATTCAGAAACTGAATTCCCATCGGCGTGCTTAATCAAATATCTTATTATAAAAGCCCGGCGTTCCATTTGTCCGTCAACTAAATTGTAAGAGCCTTTCAGAAGGCCTGAATCAAAACGTTATATAAAGTGGACCCCCCCTCCCCCAGATGTGGGGGTGAAAAGTTGATCCAACAGGTTAACAACAATTGTCAACTCCCGCAAAATAATGTATTTTGTAAGCATATATACCTACACGCCCTACATACAATAGAGTCAGTAGTATTTACATATATACCTACACACCCGACATACAATATAGTCAGTAGCATTTACATATATACCTATACATAAGCGTTTTACCAATTTTTCACAGCATCAAAAACATGTTTGCTCTTTGCACTCAGAGAAACATTCCACTATATGTATGTTGAACTTATTTCGCACCGTCCTTAGCCAACAATGCTAATTGGAGGTGCGGGAAATGGCACTGTAGATGGCCATGTAAACCCATCGTGTTATATTGGTCCTTATAAGCTCTTATCAGTGAGCCACAATGAGTTACGGATTGCCTCAAACAACAAGGTTCTGTATATGGTTGCTCATAAAGACTCATACCTAGATATGGACTTCCATTGAGTGTCCAAAGTGCAAAAACAGATGGGAGAGATGCCAGCTGGCATGAAAGATCTACGAATGAATACCGAGTCTGACGATGACTAATTGTGTAAATCACTGAATACAAATTTGAGGCGGTGGGTTGAAACGACGCCGGCGGTGTTCCAAATATGAAAATTCTTAATGCGGTCAAACGCTCGCCGTGACGTCGCAACGCTGTGCGAGGCCCGCAGGTTATCGCCACGTGTACCTGGAGGGAGTAGCGGAGGCTTCGGTCTTTGTGCACGTGGTCATCAAGGAGTTCTCTGGAAAGGTTGGTCTCACTGTAAAACAAAACAAAGCAATCCCCCATCGACTACAACACGGCGTCAAGTTTTGGCAGCTCGGCTACATACTCTAGACAAGTTGTAATGATTTAATACGTTTTTTTAGCTTAGCAATTATGGGGCTTCCTTAAAAAAATGCTGATTAAGGCTTAGAAGTCAGCATTGAGACGTCTATGCTTCCTCGTCTTTACTAACCCCGCACTGGCCAGAGTGGTGAAGTATGGTCAGATAACCTCCTCGACCCGTATCGCGTGAGAAGGCCCTCATATAGCAGCGGACTGGCAAAGTTCCCGTACCCGTACATGCATATTACATATGAACCTTATGGCGGAACCCCGGGGTCCCGAATAAACGGAAGTCAAAATCGTAATGATTTTAAATATTTTTGGCGACTCCGTCCCACCGCGCACATAAACGCCGTGACCCACGTGGCGCGGATCATTCTGTTGTCGTGTCGTGTCCAAGCGCAGCAGCGAGGACAAATGCGCAGAAGAGCTGAACAAGCGAATGCACTCCATGCTCGGGTATGGGCAGGATCGTAAGTCTTATCCAAAGCTGCTCAAACTGCCGACACGACTTAAGTCCTTTATTTGTCATCACGGTATGCATAATACAGTGAAACTGCTCTCTTACCTTCATTATTATTTGTTACCTACCAATGTCTGCAGCCAGGATCAATCGATGACAATCCTATTACCTGCAGATATTTAACAGATGAGATGTGTTGCACCGTTAATGCCTCCTGTTTGATCATACTTCTCTTGTGCGTATGTATCTGTGCAGATAGGTTTTTTTATTTTGTCCCCACATACCGCTCGTATCAATGCGGATAAGAGGAGCGGCGACCCACTACTCTGTAGAGTAACATTGGTATAAACGCTTGTTACAACATGACAGCGCATTGAAAACGCGTACTATTTTATGTACTGTTTGCAAAGCGTGATCACAAATCCACACTGAGAAACACGATGATTGACAGAGGGGTGTACATTTTTTTCGATAGTGTATTTAAATAGAAGTACTGCAGGTAAGTAGTTTTCAGTTTTAAAAGCATCGTTTAACAAGGCAACACTTGCCACCATCCTTCAAACCCATTGGTGAAAAAGAGCAAAGTTCTTCTTTACATTATAACATAATGTTTACGCGAGAGCCGGGAGCTTATGGGATGCAGGCGTCCCGCCATAAGGTTCATATACTGCTTAAAAGAACACGAGCATACAAGCCATCACAAAACCAAATTAATATTTCAATAATGGCCCACCCTTTGTTGTCAGTTTATCCTCTGGCAGTGCTCATGCATTAGTAACGAGAAACAACTAAAAGAACAGAGCTTGTGCACCATTGCCTGTGGCGGTCTTCGTGGTGGTGGGGAGGTGTGGTGGGGCGGTGGAGAAGAGAGCCACGGAATACCTGTACCCTCTCTCCCAGATCAAACAGGTCGGCGGTCTCAAGAGCCTCTTTTCGAGAAGCGTCAAGCACGGCTCGCTGGACAGCCGCACGTCCTACTTCTCTCGGCGGCGCTCGCTCGGCAAGGACTTCCTCCGGCGCACGTCCAGCGTCCCCGCCAAGGGCCGCAGGAAGAACAAGTCCATGTCGCTGCTGGTTACCATGGAGAAGGAGGGCGAGGTCGCGGAGCAGCCGGCGTGCGGCTCGGCCGCCGCCGCCGGCGCCGTCGTCGGGAACCCCGGCGAGGCTCTCGCGGCCGACGGGATGACGGCGACCGCGGCGCCGGTGACCTCGGCTCCGTCGCGGCGTGACGTCGCCGCGGAAGAAGAGGAGGAAGACGACGGCGGCGGCGACCGCGACGCGAGCTCCCGCGGGGCGCGGGCGGACGGCGAGGGCTGCCGCGAGGGAGGTAAGAACGCCCGCGGCCGCGCTCGCTTGGCACGCGGCCCCGTGGGCGCGTGCTTCGGCGGTTGTCTCGGCGCCGGGGAGAACTGCGTCAGGTGCAGCCTGGCGCTGGAGCTCGGCTGCCGGGAGACGGAGGTTCCGCGGCAGCGGGCCGGCAGGCCGAGGCGCAGGCACGTGTCGTTCGACGACCATGGCTCCGGGATGTCCACGAGGAGCTTCGTGTACGCGGACGTCAGGGACCGCGGCGCGAGCGGCGGCGGCGGTCGTGCCGCCCCGTCCGACGCGGCCCCGCCGGCGTCGTTCCGGAAGCTCGGGCCGAGGAGCAGGTCGCACTCGGCTAGACGGGGCCCGGTAGGCGGCGCCGAGGCCTGGCCCGTCGGCGAGGAGGGCCGAGTTGATGTGCACTGGCGGGGGGCCTCGGTCGTCAGCAACGGAGCCGCTTCTGACGGCTTGCAGCCAGCGGCGTGTTGGGCCCCGCAGGCACCGCAGAGACCCGTGGGCACTCTGCAGAGGGAAATGGATAAGCTGCTCACTGAAAAGATAGAGGAGATCAGGAGCAAATCCCCCATCTTCCGTCGTGGTAAGGGCAGCAGCAGTGTTAATGTAGTAGGCATTTTAGCCGTAGTCTGGTCGACGACAACCTATGAAGTTTTAGTCGAATCTTAGTCTGCGGATTTCTCTCAATAATTTGCCTCAGACTAAAATGCCGACTAAAATTAGCACTGGGCAGCGATACTCTATAGGTCGTGGTGGCTCTAGGCATGGCCGGAATGGATTGTGGCAGAAGCACGTCCCTTTTGGAGAGCGGGAGATTGATTTATCGATGTCATTGTACTTTTTTTAATGTCCGTGACCTTGCGGATCAGCCAGACGTAAAATTCGAAGCACGTGTCCAGCACAGCAAGTGCGCTGCAGTTCTTTGCAGGTTATTGAAAAGGGACCGTGGGAAATGGGGCAATAATGTCGCTTCTTTGCTCAATATCATGGGAATGTCGAACGTTGCCGAGTTTGTCCCAGCGGCTTCTCTCCAAAATGAGCCCGTACGTGCAACTGCACAATCGCCTTCTTTTGCCATGCGTCTGCCACACCGTGAGTATGACAGCACTTTATTGGTTGGGTCTCCATGGCTGTGTAAGGAAAAAAGAAAGAAAATATATTTCCTCACGTATGACTTCATTTAACAAAGCCACCTCATAGGATGCATTTCAATTGGCATTGTATATGACAAAAATGTAATTCGAAAAGCGACATGACACCTCAGTGTACGCGAGTATAAGCACCGTGTTTAAACTTTAAATCGTTGTCAAATGTCAAAGTGTAGCTCTTTGGCGTACTGTATGCCAGAGCAGCTTTAATTATATAATCCTCACCATTTCTAACGCTTATGGCAAGTGAGTTTGTAAACGTTTCCTTCTCTCTTTTTTCGTGTTTAAAGCCACAGTTGCAATTGGCTTCCGTAAGAAATGCACGATGCTAATTTACAAATTGCAAATTAGTTCATGTGGAAACTATTGTTGTTTTGTATATTCAACCTTTGGCCGCAATTTTTGTTGTTTATCTTTCTGCACAAAAACTCTGAGCAACATTTCCATATTTTTAAAAAAACAGCCATCCATTTTTTTCGGAGAATGATTAACTCGTTAAAACAAGTTATACCGACCACCTCATCCTACATCACACAACGGGGAAAAATACATATTTTCTACTCATAAGTTAAACACTTCAGTAACGAAGTGTAATGACCCATCCAATAAACGCGCGTCATGATAAACGTTCGTGCGGCATCATCATGATGCCTATAAGTTCTCAGATTCACTGCAACTTGATATGCAAGCTTCGCCCCACATCCTGGCACACATTTCTCCAGTCCCGTCGTCTTTCACTGAATTCTGGTCCCTCAGTGAGGCGTTACCGATCGGTCTGCTAGGTTGTCGGGAGAACTTTGCTTATCAACTGGATGCAGGCCTACGATGGTTTAATTATGTCCTTGTGAAAGAACATCGCACTTCTATGGAGGTATGCTCAGTGGTGAAGGAATGAGGCATTGACTTGTGGTAGTGGTTGCGGTGGCAAATTTAAGGACAAATAAACTCGATGAGATTGTTCTTTGGTTCTTACGGTGAAGGCACGTGGAAAGAAAATAAATTAAATAATAATAGAATACGACGTTTCGATTGAAACACAAGCAACCATCATCAGGTACGTTATGAATGAGAAAAAAACATAGTAAACTCAGAAATACAATGCAATCCAACCAGAGTCGGCCAACACAACAGTCAACACCCCACCTGTTTGATGACGTTCTTCCAAAGATTGCTAAATTTGAGAGAGGGATAAAACACAGACAAGGAGACACAAAGACAGACACACAAGCAGAGAGAGGCCGTGGGTGTCATACAGAATGCACAACTCTCTCGTCTGTAGGCTAGCTGCTGTTAATAACATACTCAGAGTTATGGAGCGATAAACGCGCGGCCACTTGAATTAGTGATGCGTTTTGTTAGCGCCGGTCCTTTTGGTTAACGGGTGACTCTAGCACGCATTGTGTGGGAACCCTTTTAGAGTGATTGCTGTTTGTCACGTGTCAGGTCTCAAGTTTTTACGTTTTTTTAACCGGGTGCACAACTCAAGAGACCAGAAATGAGTCTCATTTACAAGCGTGAGCATCTTAACGCGAACAATATTACCTATAACAGTGGTTTTTGTTTGGGTCAGATCACGTGAACATACATGTGTCGTTAAACCCGCCACCACCCGACACAGCCAACTAGTAAGGTTTGTCACGTAAACAGAACACGCCAATTCGTTACTAGTACAGTACACCGGTTGTGTGTTGGTGAGTAAACCCACAACGTTTACAATTCGAGTAGCGTGACGTTTCGCCGGTAATTACAACCAGCCTCATCAGGCGGCAGCCAGAGTTGTGGACAAATCCTCCAGTCTCGGTCTTAGATAGAGGGATAAATGCGATGTCGTCACTTGTGAGCCAATCCGGTGCAAAGCATCAAAGCTCAATAAATAAATGCGCAGCAGTGAAACAAATTGAAATCAGAACAAAAAGCAACCGTTTCACGTGCATGATTGAAGTTTTTTTTACCCAAACTTAACTCAAAATTAAATATTCTTGGTTCTTTCGGTAAAGTCACGTAGAAGGGAAATAATAAAATAATATTAATATAAAACAATAAACATTCTCACGACGATTCGACTGCAACACAAGCAATCATCATCAGGTGTGAAATCCACACATATTTATATTATTTTATTATTTCCCTTCTACGTGACTTTACCGAAAGAACCAAGAATATGAATCCCTGCAGTCACGAAAGCTTTAAATAAAATTCTAAATTAAATATTACGTTCCCAAAAGTGCAAATTAGTTCAGGGCAGATTGCTTTTAGACTCATTGTACAATTACAAGATGAAGGTGCCAGAAACGTTGAACAGATAGAATGTAATCATAGTATAGAAATGTAAACAGATGACTGCCACCACTAGGTATAACTTCACGGGAGTAGTTTAGTCACGTATGCTGCAATGTAGAATGTAACGTTAGAATACTGGCAGTAGAATAGAACGTTTTAAAACGTTTATGTGTATGTTTTTAATCAAAATGTTGCATTGCACTGGACACGTTCAGGCAAAGGAGCAGCCCTGCAATGCCTTGTTCTCCTGCTGGTGGAAGGGCCTCCGCTAGAGGGAGCTCTAGAGAGCCCGTCTGGAGGGACATCTATTTGAAGTACTCCCCCACACTGACACATTTGCAGGAAAGCAATTGTGTTCATTTATTTTCCACTTAAAGTCATCATCACAACCGAGATCGGTTATAATGTTTATTATTGGCCAGGATAGGCCTGCGATCCTTTCCTCTCACCTCGTAGAGCCTCCAGCTCAAAGGAGTTCCCTCAATAAGGGGCGCCACGGTGGCTAGGAGATGTTGACTACCTCGCCTGGTATGCAGGAGGTCGTGGGTTCGATCCCGACCCTGATGCCTGCTGTATATTTGGAGTTTGCATGTCACTCTCCTCGTGGTCTCGTGGATTTTTCTCCGGGTCCTGGTTGTTCCCTCCACATTTAGAAACATGAGTTTTGAGTATTTGGCTGCTATAAATTTCCACGTGGTAAGTCACTTCGTTGAGATATCATGTGTGTCCACGTCACTTCTGAAAATTATCTATATAGCTCAGTGGGCCTTACCTGGTAAAATAAAAAAAATTAAAAAATATGTGGTGGGAAATAATTTTTCCTCATTGGCAAATTTGCAAACAGTGATAAACTTTTGGTCGAATAACGAATGCACCTTTTAAAACTATTCCCAGTATCATAATTCCAGAGCGAGCTTTGTGTCTGCCAGAGTGTTCCACTGATTAAGCATTACTTGTAATAGGCTGTCTTTGTTATGTCTCTTCCAACGCTTGCAAAATAGCTCAGGATTGACTAGGAACTCAACGTACAGGTAACGAATGTGTACATGCATTTCTCTCCGTGGTTTTCCTCGTTCGTTTGTGCGCATGGTATCATTGCTGTTGCATTCCCATTCATTTACTGAAACACTGACTGTGTGATATAATGTATTATCAAAAAAAATTATTATTATTATATGTATTCTTATGGGGTTCAGCATTATTGATGTAGGTTTGAAAAATCACTTACATTTTAAAATGTGATTACATTTACAAATACAATACACAGATATTGCGGGAAAACACTGACCTTCCTTTGAGCGTACATTATTAATCTAATATAATTACTCAGATGGGTGTTATACGTTCACACGATGTTTCATCCTAGCTTCAAAGTCATTAACCCAAACAAATGGAGTAGCTTGCAGCCAATAATTTAATTGGCTGAAATGCCTAAATAAAAAATATCACGTGTGCACATTTGGGCCAATCAAATTGGCTCTCGGTGGGCTTACATGAAACACATACCCACTCTTCCTTTAGAAAATGCTAATTATTAGAATTTCAAATAAAGTAGACGTACTTGCACTCTACATTTCCAGCCAGGGTGAGCAATTGTGTGATGCCACCGATGTTTCCGTTTATATTTGCATAGATACTCATCATACTTTTTTTTTCTGTACTTATAATCTGTCTCATAATTCAACGAGACAAAGTTACCGTGATTGCTTTGTATAATTAATTATTTACAAAGGTTTATTAACACAGGAAAACTAAAGTCATTAAAATTTGCGAAGTGATTAACATTACATTTTGTTAGCAGCACCAGGTGTAGGAAAATAGATCAATTAAGATTCGGCTTACAAAGCAAATTTACATTGGTTTGGTTCATCACATCTGGCATGGCACGTTAATTAAATAACAAAATAAGCTCCTTTGATGACATGAAATCCTTAATGTAGCCGAAAGCTATCTCTGTAACAGACGGTATCATTATAAGTTCAAAACATATACCGTACGTTATCTATTACCCCTTTTCATCAACCGCACTGGATTTCTCTCAGAAATCCTGGCACATCACCACCGGGCGAGATCCAGGGTACGCTATTTAGTAAAACTCCACTTGATGTCATGGTGTAAACATTGCGGGTTATATAAATATTCTTGAGCAGTCAATGTGGAAGTTGATCGGTGCGGGCTCTAACCGAGATCTCCCTTTGTTTTCAAAGCAGGTGGAATTGGTTCTGCATGCCCGCACTCTGCTCCAGACAACCATGCACACTCCAGCGACCTTCGCTCGAGCACTCCCCCACATCCTCTTCTTCTCCACATGATCAACCGTGCGTCTCTGAAGAGGGCTTCTTCTCAAAAATCTCAGAGCAGTGACCCTCCGTCGCCGACCTGCGGGGCCAACCCCGATGCGAGCCCGGCGGCAGGCGGCCCCACATCCCGGCCCGACGCACGACATTACGCGAGCCACCCACTGCTCAGCCACCACGCTTCCATCGAGTCCCAGGACAGAGATCTGTCGGCGGCTTCGGACAGCGCCGATTCCATCAACGGCTTCGACGGGGACATCAACACGAGTTCAGAGTCGTCTTCCGACGAGACACTGGCGAATCGCGCCGAGCCAATCCCGGGCTCGCAAAACCACGGTCTCGTTACCGGAGAGGTGACACGGAGAGCGGGACACTGTCCAGATCCCTTAGACAAGAGCATGAAAAGAAGCTCCATTGAGTCGTCGCCAATGTTTTCGGTGAACGTCACTGCCAATGACAAGCTGTGGAGACCGCTGGACGGCAAGAGCGTGCGCGACAGCGTGGCATCCGCGTCGAGCGTCTCATCGGCCGACACGGTCATTGACGCCTTTTCGTATGAAGGCCGCTCGTCAATTGCAATGCTGAAGAAGAAGCACCTGGAAAATGTGTTCCTCAGAGGGGACACGGTGGGCCCAGATCCCCGTTGTGTTCCCTGTGAATTGTCCGGAGCAAATGAGTTGGTGTCTCCCCCAGCGTCGTCTCGCCTGAACGAGCAAATGGCAGTGGACAGTAGAGTGGGTGAGGGTGGGAAAAACGACGTAGCCATTGGAAATCAAACAAAACTGGAAGCTGCTCGATCGGACTTCACTGCAAAGCTAATTCCGGATGCAAATGGCATGTCTAATAATCAAAATAACAACCACATAAATGTGAGAAATGAGGACAATTCATCATCAGCTCTTGGCTCTAATGAAGGAAAGGTGCCTTTCGGTGTTGTCCAGCTTCGAGAGAAGAAGTCCACAATGCCTGATTCACAAGGCCAAATAGAAAGCAACGTGCCACACTTTCGTTTTCCATCAGAAAAGCCAAATAATGATTTGGAGAGGCCGTACGATAACAGGCAATCGCTTTCAAGCTTTGAGAGGGTAGCAATGTTGAAAAGGGAGTTCATGGGCATCTTGGGACACCAGTGGAACGACGAAGTAGATTCGGGAAATAGAACGAATGATGAATATCCTCAAGTTACACCTGCTATGGAAACTTGCTCCGCATTGCCAAGTGGAAATGAACCTTTTAAAAGGTCCATGTCTTATGATGTCGCATACTTCAGCCCGGACTCGGCTGCGGTGATGCGTAAAGACAAACTTAACGGACCACCATTCAGCGCAACAACCGTCTTCGGGGGAGCAGAAGAGATTCCACCATCCACCAATGGCGAGACGTCTGGGCCGGATCCCTGCGACGGAACGCGAGTGCGGGAGATGAGCGCGGACGGCGATACGATCGGCGAGGATCAGGAGCCGTCGCCCAACAGCGGCGTGCTGCTCAGGACGCTGTCGCTCGACCCGGCCACGTCGATGAGCGCAGGCAAGAGGGCGGCCGCCGGCGCCCACGAACGCCGCGCGCGCTGCGACACGGTGGCGGCCGCTCGCCCGTCGTGGAACAGGCTGTACATGCAGACGCTCGTGCAGTCGAGCAAGGCGGCGGCCGAGGTGAACTGCCCCACGGGGCGACAGCGCCGCAGCCAAGTCCAAGAGCTTGGGGGACCTGACATCGGACGACATCGTGAGCAACTTCCAGAGCAAGTACAAGAGCATCTGCCGCAGCTTTATCACAAAGTCGATGCGCGAGCAGCGCAGGATGGTGGCACTCGGGCGCCTTCCGAACCAACCACAGAACCCGCTGACCGAGCAGATTATTCAGCTCGCGACGCTGACTCAGGACGAGGTGCCCGAGTACACGTCGTCGCCCCCCCAACGTGCGCCTGAAGGCTCGACCTCTCCCAGGTTGAGGTCGCCCGGGACGCAGAACCTCAGCCCCACCAGCCATGCGAGAGAGGTCCTTCTCGTACGGTCCCGCGTTCTCTGGCTCCCGGTCGAGGAGCATCAGCGACGGCAGCTCCCTCCACCGCAGAACGACCATGCCGGTGAATCTCTTGAGAAGCGTCTCCACGGAGCAGCAGGGCGCTTCGGGCCCACAGAGGAGGCTGCCGAGCGGACAGCCGCCGAGCAGCGCGCTCAAGCGGAGTCAGTTTGCGCAGAGGTATCCCGCGTCGAGCTACGGCTTGTTCAGGCACTCGGTGGGCTCGTTGGATGGCATCAATGTCAACCCGCTGCTGACGGAGCGGCGGGAGGCACCGGACGGAGCCTGCTCGACACTCACCAAGGCCCGCTTCATGGAGGAGCCCTCGGTGGTCGGGAAGGCGCCGTCCTACTCCGAGCCGAACCTCAGCGAGGAACCAGAGGTCTTCTTCATGCTCAACCTGTAGCGCGGCCGTGCGGTCGGGAGTGTGCATGCGGTTGTGGCGGCACGTGAAATGAATGCATCACGCGCATGAAAATTCGCGGCGAGTCGCGGGTGTCCTAGTTTAGGCTGAGACTAGAATTGGATTTTTTTTTTAGTGCAGATGAATTGCAAAAAAAAGGGGTGGCATTGTAATGTTTTTTTTTTTACTAATATAAAGTAGTCATTGGTAGAGTATGCATATAAATCGTACATTTGTATAGTGTATTTGCAGTTTGTTTTAAATACAAAATCCCGACATTGATCATCGTTATCTACTGGAACCTGTTTAATAGCATGCTATTTAAGCAGATATAACTTTAGAGTTAAATTAATCCCACACAGTTAAAAACATAGTATTTTTAGTATAATTCGGGACTGATGCTACATTATCTTCACTTCCTATAAATGTGTACATTCAGGGCTGGACCATCTCTTTATATAAATTGTAATATATGCTGATACCCAAATGGGCATTGAGACTAACTCGTAGAGCTATCCATCCCGTTTTTAAGTGTCCCCCAAGTAAGTGTAGTCTTTGCCAAGTGCTGTAGTTTTCAGAGTAGCGGAATGTGTGATGCGTACGACACAGCAGAGAACACACGTGCCCCAGCATGTGCGGCGGTACTTCCGATTGGTTTTCCAAGGCATTTAATCGATATTATTACGGACAACGGCGATTGTTCGCAGACCAGCGCTACCACCTTTCACTGCACGACAGTGCCTTCATACAGCCAACCAATCAATCGCTTACACCCCAATGCATAGCTTTCATTTCTTTATATGCAAACACATGTTGCTGTATCCCTCATCTTAATATACACACAAGTGTGTGTGCATATACGAAAAGTGTATCTGCATATACATGCATGCGTGTATGTATATGTGTGTGTACATATGGTAGATTATATATGCATATTGTGCTGTATTGTATATACATTTGTGTAAAATACGTACATGCATACGTAAAAATTCCAATATTTCCGTCGAGTATTAATGTAATAAAATGTATAAGAAAGCAAAATCTACTTGTGAACAAAAACACATTAATATGAGGCCAATAAGACAGCTCAGATAATTTATTAGATTTGCGTTCATTATTCTTGAGGCATGTTGAAAGCATTTTAACAATCTTTATTTTAAAATACATCCCATGAAACTAAAACATAAAAAAACATTGTGACATTGCACACAAACAGAATATCATGGCAGAGGAGTTACTGCACCTGAGTAGGTTTACGGCCACTCTGGAGATGGAGCGATGAGATTAGTTTGAGCAGGAGTGAGACCAATTGGAGCATCGCAGGATTGTGGTGGATGGTGGCAGTGTGAAGAGACCTTCATCCAGTAGTGGACAGAACATGGCTAATCATAGTAACAGTAACGGTGACTGCATTCGCTGCTGTTAAATGTGATCCTAAATATTTATTATACGGGCAGTCCCAGAAATACGACTTATGAACATCAGCTCTTACGAACGAACCGCCATAAGATGTTATTATTTTTAGCCATCCGGCTAGCAAATGTTCGTTCGTACTTACGAACCGAACTGCGGAACTATTTTGTTCGGCGAAGCAATCCTCCGCAAGATGTGATGAGTCCTAGCATCATCCTGCATGATGTACAATGACAGTGCTCCCCTTTATTGTTGAACCATAACACATTTTATGACACTGACCGTAAATATCGAGTTTTCGAGATACGAACAAATGGACTTACGAACGCATCTCGGGAACGTAACTCGCCCGTAAGTCGAGGACTGCCTGTAACTGCGTGTGCAGTAATCAGTGGCGTAGCCATCGAGTGTGCAGGCGGTGCAACTGCTCCAGCTCCTACCGGCTGGAGGGGCCCAGAGGCAGATCTACGAAGAGGGGGGACATTCAATTCCTTGCACCAGAAACCATTCCAATCATTGCCACTGGCAGTAACGAGTAGAAATTAAAAAAAATGCTTAATATGTGTTATACTTCATCCCGTTTTTACACAAAGGTAGAGGCGATTGGCACACATGCTTTTTTCATCATTATTATTTATCAGGCCTGACCTTTAGTAATCATTTAAATCAATTTCCTGGGGATGACCCTTCTCATTTGTTCTCATTTGTTATCCGTCCTGTAACTCGGTGTGTGTTGCCCATGATGTGTACACGTAGAACTGGATAAAGTCCACGAGATTACCTGTGCTTATTCTTGTTATTACGCTTGTTTACCCAGGAAACCCTCACTCAATCTCAAGACTCTTTTTCTTTTTTTCGGGAAGGTCCTGCCAAGTTTTTCACAGTGTGGGGCGATGTTGCTGCTCTCTGTAAGTCCAGTAAGAGTCATTTGCCGGTATTTGTTGATGCGTTTGGATGTTTTGGCCATTACCAGTTACCTTGTTGTACTTTTGTGTTTGTTTTACTTTTGGAGAAAACTGGAGAACCCGGAGGAACATTGGGGAGGACATACAAACGCCACACAGCAGAGGTCGCAAACGGGTTTTGATTCCTTACCCGTACCCGTACCCGGCCGCACCAGGGTCGCAAACGGGTACCCGTACCCTACCCGATACCCGGCTACCCGTACCCGGCCGGGTATCGGGTAGGGTACGGGTACGGGTACCCGATTGCGACCTCTGGGATGAAGCCATGTTGCAGGCGCGGGTGGGTTGATTCTAGGAACTTGAATTGTGAGAAGAGACAAGACGTTGGGAAATGAGTGACAAACGGTGACTCACCAGTGACTCACGGCCTACCCTTATCCGTACCCGGCCGCACCAGGGTCGCAAACGGGTACCCGTACCCGGCCGGGCAGGTAGCCGGGTGTCGGGTAGGGTACGGGTATCGGGTATGGTACGGGTATCGGGTACCGATTGCGACCTCTGCCACACAGAAAGGCACCCGAGTTGGGAATCAAACCCAGGGCCTTGTTGCTGCGATGTGCAAGTGTTGCCACTGCGCCCCCCTGCCGCCCACTTAAGACACTTTCAGGGTCCCTCAGCTTTGTGTCTTAGATGTCTGCCCTGCTACCCCTACCTCCCCGTGTACCCCAACAACAGGACTGATGGCAGTGATTGGTTTAACGGAGTCACGTACATCGAAAACACAGAGCGAAAGAAGAAACATTTAAAAGTGTATCGCTTAAGCATATCTAAACACTCGGAATTATGATGATGCATTACAATCCAGTGTTTTTGTGATGAGAGAAATCTGGATATAGAATACTTCAACGGTACTGTGAACTAATCATCAACGATGCTCATCGAGTAACACTGAGCAATGTGCAGCGTGCATTAGAGACCTTTGTACATAAGAGCTGTCTAGGCACGTTGTTCAAGTGGGTGTGAGGTTTTGGGACCGGTGTTCGACATTTCTCCAATCTAATATTGCAACATTATACATTCTAGCAGGAACGTCGTCCCATAGACATTGCGATGGTCCTGGCATTTGGTGAGCACCACATTAAGAAGTCAATTCTAGATTTGAAGCTTTCGTGACTGCAAGGATTCATATTCTTAGGTTTTTTCGGTAAAGTCACGTAGGTAAAAAAATTACAATTAATAAAAGTAAAATAAAAATACAGTAAAATAAAAATCACGACGTTTCGGAGGCAACACAAGCTTCCGTCTTCAGGTGGAACCGTCACAGCACGATTATTTTATTTTTATTTTACTTTTATTAATTTTAATTTTTTACCTACGTGACTTTACCGAAAAAACCTAAGAATATTAAGAAGTCAATCCGTTGACGTTTTTTGACATTGGCCCCATAATGTTAATTTGAACAAATCATGACACTTCCACTAACCTACTGATGGTGTAATGATACAAGCAACCTCCTACAGCCACGAGAGGCCGCTATAGTCACTGCAATGTTAATAAAGAGGATCGATCCTTCGATTGAAATTGCGACCCTGAGCAAGTTGGCACAGGTGGAATGAATCACGACGCAGCTATAGATGCACCCACCTCTGCTGTAATAATACAGGCTGATCCATTGGTAGACACTTCACTCAAATAACGTGTGGGGGAAGAGGGGGTCGGGGATAGAGACATTTTAATTAAAAACCTTGGCAAGTCTCACACCAATGACAATACACTTCTTAGACATTTTAATACTCCCCAAAATACTTTGTTCACCATAGCCAATGTAATTAGTAAGATGGTTGTTAGAAAGCTGAAGATGTCTGTAAAGGGATCACCTTGTATAACAAAACATGTACATTCATTAACACATCCTTTGAATGTAACCATTAGTATTGCTTTCCTTGATTAATTTCACCTTCCTTTGAAAGTAGTTACAGCATTCGATACACATTGTATACAACCTGTATTCTGTGAATATTAACACAAATATGGCAAAAAAGAACCACAGTACTATCAAATTAACAGTTACTCTTGTTCATTAAGGACTTTCATATCACGGTGTTGTGCTGTACGAGAATACAAAGCGTACAGTTTCATGAATGTAACATTACCATTTTTAACCTTAGTACAGCGAGCTTTTCGTGAACATATCTGCTGTCAAGATTTCTTTATAAAATGCCTTCTCAGCCAAATAGAAATTTTACAAAACTACTTACATGACTGTTATTAAAAAAAGTACCATAGGCTGTGCTCATTTTCCATTTGTTGCATGAACATACACAAAGGTAGCTGGTTTTTGAAAGGGTCATATCAGTGTGTAATGGTTATTATTCCTGCCCCGCTTAAGCTGATTTGACCACTTTAAATATGCAATTGTGTGTTTTCTATATATCTGCACTAATTATAGCTTTGGCATTGCAATTATAAGATTTTAACCTTGTGTGTACATTTAGTTGAAGCAGAAATTGTTGTTATTTTTAATGCATTTCATAGCTTAAAATCATATTGCTTGTACGTATCCTGCATTTGATGAATACATTTTATGTAACGCTAATATTAAGAGCAAAAACTCTCATTTTGCAATAAAAAAGTAAGGTCGATTTTATAATGATAGAAAAAAATCAAGAATTTTTCCATGTTATCCATGCACAACTGTCTGTTAAACAAATAAATACTTATATGCATTTTCTCGTTTGTTAGTCCAATGGAATATATTGTCGCATGGCGTGTGCATAGGTACACAATGTACGTCTCTTATTATACTGGTAGTAACCTCCTGGTTACACCAGCCCACGGGGGATTATTCTGTCGGTCGTGCATTCCAAATATGGGAGGGGTGGGTGGAGAGGGGAGGGAGGGGCTTGGTTGGGAGGGTAGGGTGGGGAGGGGCCAGTAGTGGGGAGGGTGGGGGGGGCTGGGTGGGGAGGGTGGGGCTGGGTGGGGGGTGGGAGGGGTGGGGCTGGCTGAGGAGGGGCTGATCACCCCGTGGTGCCCTTATAAAACTCAACGTTTTACAGGTAGGAACAACAGGTTCCACACTGCCCACCAGGGATTATTTGTCTGTCGTGCATCTGAATGCAGCTCACCCGTGCACCCCCTCCACAGACCGCCGAGCAGGGCCACGATTGGTTGAGGATGTCGGGGAGGGTGGGGGGGGAAGGTAAACACGCCCAATCATCCAACTCCCCCCCCCCCCCCGCAAACGCCGAGCGGGGCCGCCATTGGTAGAGGTGGGGTGTAAACACGCCCACTCATGCAATCCCCTCCCCACCGAACACCGGGCAACGCCGCGATTGGTTGACGATGTCGGGGAGGGTGGGGGGGAAGGGTAAACATGCCCACTCATCCAACTGACCCCCCCCCCCCTGAACGCCGTGCTGAGTGTGAGTCTGAGAGTGTGAGCGTGTATGTGCGTGAGACTGAGAGTGTGAGAGTGAGTGTGTGTGAGTCTGAGAGTGTGTGTGTGAGTCTGAGTGTGAAAGTGAGTGTATGTGTGTGAGTCTGAAAGTGTGAGTGTGTGAGTCTGAGAGTGAGTGTATGTCTGTGTGAGTCTGAGAGTGTGAGTGTGTGTGAGTATGTGTGAGTGTGTGTGAGTCTGAGAGTGTGCGAGTGTGTGTGTGAGTCTGAGAGTGTGAGAGTGAGTGTGTGTGTGTGAGTCTGAGAGTGTGAAAATGTGTGTGTGTGAGTCTGAGAGTGTGAGTGCATGTGTGTGTGAGTCTGAGAGTGTGAAAGTGAGTGTATGTGTGTGTGTGAGTCTGAGAGTGTGTGTGTGTGCGAGTCTGAAAGTGTGAGTGTGTGAGTCTGAGAGTGGGAGAGTGAGTGTATGTCTGTGTGAGTCTGAGAGTGTGTGAGAGTGAGTGTGTCTGTGAGTGTGTGTGTGAGTCTGAGAGTGTGAGAGTGAGTGTGTGTGTGAGTGAGAGTGTGAGCGTGAGTGTGTGTGTGTCTGAGAGTGTGAGAGTGAGTGTGTGTGTGTGAGTCTGAGAGTGTGAGAGTGAGTGTATGTGTGTGTGAGTCTGAGAGTGTGTGTGTGAGTCTGAGAGTGTGAGCGTGAGTGTCTGTGTCTGAGAGTGTGTGAGTCTGATACTGTGAGAGTGAGTGTGTGTGTGTGAGTCTGAGAGTGAGTGTGTGTGTGTCTGAGAGTGTGAGAGTGTGTGTGTGAGTCTGAGAGTGTGAGAGTGAGTGTGTGTGTGTGAGTCTGAGAGTGTGAGAGTGAGTGTGTGTGTGTGAGTCTTAGTTACCTAGAGTGTTATACAGGTAGAAACAACAGGTTCCACACTGCCCACCAGGGATTATTTGTCTGTCATGCATATCCGGAATTCCGCCCACCCATGCTCCTCCCCACTGAACACCGAGCGACGCCGCGATTGGTTGACGATGTCGGGGAGGGTGGGGGGGAAGGGTAAACACGCCCACTCATCCAACTGCCCCCCCTGAACGCCGCGCTGTCCAACCAAGTTCCAACTTGCCCACTCCGAAGGAACGTTTCACCTACTCACGCCGGCTTGTGCCCGCCCTCACAGTCGGGCATATTTGCGGAATACACCACGCCGCCGTTGACTCTGCAGGCCATTGACCGAGCAACCCAACGTTCCTACCAGCTCCCTCCGCAGGAATGTGTTTGAAGGGGCCTCCCGCTTGTCACAGCATCAACTGTGACGCCAGCATTGGATCACAATACAGGCGCTCTGAACATTCTACTTACGAACTTTCAGAGATACAAACAAATCTGTCCTAATGTCCAGTTGCCTGTGCGGACCGAAGTTCAACCACCACGCAATAGATGGCAGTGATGGCATCTACATCTACAGGAAATTATACAACTTTTAAAGTCATTCCCCGTGTTTAGTGTACATGCCGTACACAATGTTTGTAATCGACAGGAGTAAAGTTGGACTTACGAACAGACCTCTGGAACCTGGCTCGTTCGTAAGTAGAGGAGTCCCTGTCGAGTTCCAGAACTCCTCTCACCCACGACCCTATTACCCACGGCAGCAGGAGGCTCCATGAAATGTATTATCCGTGATTATCCCCAAATTCTACGCCCGTGGATGAGAGTACAATCGCGGATGAATGCCACGGATAATCGGATCCGCAATATTGCCCCCCACCCCCCAATGTCGCAAGATGAAAGAAGTGTTCCTGTACTCGGACTCCCAATCCTCGCAGGTGCTCCGTTTAAACGGAGCAGATCGGTGAATTGGCAAGCTGTAAATAGCAATGCGCAATCTTGGTAAAGGTGCTAATCGAGTGCCAAACTCGGGATGCTCTCGTGTGAGCCGTTTACGCCTTGCCTACAGCGCCCATGTGTGACCACGAAAGGAATGCGTTGAATTGCAGTATAAATTAAAACAACACATTGTACGTGATGTCCCAGAACACACACACACACGCGTATATAAGCACCGAATGTATTATTCGGGGTAGAGCTTTGACAAAGTGTGATTTGTGCGCTGCGCTATCAACCGAGTGGCCTCACTTTGATTCCACACCACAGCTAACACGAGTGGCAAGCTTTCCGATCCGATCCTAAGCACACCTTCGGCAGCCCGCACTGACAAACGAGATGACTTATAGTGAGAGAGACAGCGTGTGGAGGACTTCATCCGCCAGCGCGTTGACAAAGCTGTAGATGATGATGATTATTATAATTATTGACTCAAATACATGCGTGTGAACCTGGGCACGTGAAATCAGTTCTGGCCACGTAGAGCATCAATGGGAGTTGCTCTTTGAACCGGTCCTGGGCTTCCCGTAGGTTCATCGAACGTAAATTGATTTGTAAATCCACTGATTGAGGTTACCCCCCGTGTAATGGTGGATGTTTGACCATACTTCACCATGCTGGTCAGTACAGGTTGGTGAAGGTGGCAGGTGGAACGCGGGGACCAGTTGAGATATCAGCCGCCACTGGTGTTAGCCGTGGCCCGGGAATCGAACTCGGGGGTTTGCGTTCATAGCGCAGTGTGCTAACCACTGCACCACCGCTCCCCACCTCGTGCTGTGTTATCATGTGTGAATATAACATTGGGTGATGCTCAGGGGAGCAACCACGTGCTCTGTGCCGACCTGGATACGTGCCCGTTCGGAACACTGGCTTAGTCTATGAGGCTACACAGGGGACATTCATCCTCATGTGCGCATGAGAAAGAAGACTCAGTGCAAATGTATCAAAGCCCAGTTTTTATTGAACAAGAAAGCGTACACCAATGCAGACGCACGCCTGCGTTCTGCTTTTCACTGCGTTAAAACACATCGTGGAGATCGCGGTCTTAATGTCAGCACTTTCATTTGGAACATTGCTTATCTACTGCAGCGATGATGACACGATGCTCCGTTCATACGCACGTGACATGGTCATCAATTCGAGTTTTAAAAGTGTACCGAAATTTGAGTGTATGTGTACAGCACCAGTTGACGTGACACGTGATCATGCTGCGAATATGCTAAAGCCTGAAATGGGTACACTATGAACATGGAATGGAGTCTTGTTGATCAGAAAGTAGAGAAAGATTAAACTAAAATGCTTTCCCACCTGATGACGGACGCTTGTGTTGCGACCGAAACGTCGTGATTTATTTTATTTTATACCCACGTGACTTTACCGAAAGAACCAAAGAGTATGGATTCCTGCAGTCACGAAAGCTTCAAATCAAGAAAGATTAAACTGTTCATTGATATTCTTTGGGTCTTTCGGTAAAGTCACGTGTTTTCTTTGAACCTATCTCCGTCACTTTACCTGAAGACCCAAAGAATATTAATTCCTGCAGTCACGAAAGCTTTAAGCCAACACTGTTCATTGATACTTTTATGAAGAACACGTGGAGCAGCATGCAACATTTTGTATTTTACGCTTGTGAAAAGCATTATGGGATAGGTTTAAATTAGACTTAGGAGGAAATAAACAACTTTTAACAGGAGGCAGATTCAAATGAAAAGTCGAAATCGTGCATGTTGGCAGCTGCTGCCAATTTTAAACTCGCGTGTCAACTTAATTTGGTTTGATAATTAGTTTTTTACCCTTCTATCTGGCAACAAAACTGACACCTTTTTACAAGGAGTCATGTTTGCATAGACCGCAATACCTGCAGTCATAATACAAACAAAAGACATAATTCTGATAATATGCGCTGTCCTTGAAGTTGATTGGTCCACACATATTATCAGAGTTATGTATTTTGTTTGTATTATGACTGCAGGTATTGCGGTCTATGCAAACATGACTCCTTGTAAAAAGGTGTCAGTTTTGTTGCCAGATAGAAGGGTAAAAAACCAATTATCATATTTTTACTGGCAAATGAGGGTCCCATAGTGTAGTTAATTTGGTTTCATGAAGCACACACGAGGAGGCTTTCTCTGCTCACACGAGCGTTACGATTTGCCTTGTGGGTGTTGAATTTCAAAAAGATGGCAGTACTGAAAACACAAGTTGACTATTACATTTTGGTTTGTAAATAACGTTCAGCTGAATGAAGTTTAATTCACATCCAACTATAATAATGCAGGCTGGCTATGCTGACAAATTCTTTTTTTTCCCTGTAGTTATAATTCCCTGAATTCCAAAACTGGGTTTACACAACTGTGAAAAATGATTCGTTCATTGCCAGGTAAACGCAGAGGGTGCAAAACTTGCTCCAGGAGGCAAAGTTCAGAACTCCCGCAGCTCTTCGATGCGTTTTCGGGTTGCACTTGCGCGTCGTCCGGCACGACGTCTGACGTTTTAGCTCCAACAACAACAACAAATCCATTCTTGAATAAGAACGAGCTCGCAGCACGTGCAAGCGGATCGTCAACAGGTGCCGAACATCGCGCCGTACAACCCGCAACACACATCGAGGAAGCACAACCCGCACAACCGCACACAGAAATAAAACCTACGTCGGCCGTTGGGAACGAATTTTACATTCTGCGGTGACGAACACTCGCTGCTCACTGGCGTGTGTGGTTCGACATCGTTACCGCACGACAAAAAAAGTTATAATGTTCCTATGGGGGCCGTCCATAAATGACGTCACGTAATTTTTGACCCCCCCCCACCGTCACACGGCGTCACAAGCAAGTCAGACCCCCCCTCCCTCAAATATGACGTCACAAAGCTCTGCCCATCCCCCCCCCCCAAAATAAAACACGCTTAGAATCGCTTTCAACTATTGTCATTGTAGTGTGTATTTAATGTGGCGCTGCACTCTGATGTTGTAGGAGAAAACATTTATTAAAAAGTCTATTTAATTAAGTAGAACGTGTTGTCTATATTTATTGAAAGTTGCGCATTTCTATGTGACGTCACATCTCTCAAACCCCCCCCCCCCCCCTCGTTAAACATCGTCACAAATGTCTGACCCCCACCCCCCCCCCTTAGGTGCGTGACTTCATTCATGTACGGCCCCTTAAGTGAACAGTAATACCATACGAAGAGCAGTACAAACCGTGTGTAGTAAAACGTCTCATTTGAGTTCACCTCGAGGCTAACGCGTCGCAGTCGGCTTAGGGGCCGTCCATAAATGACGTCACGCGATTTTGGACGATTTTTGACCCCCCCCCCCCCCCTCGTCACACGGCGTCACGAAAAGTCAGACCCCCCCTCAAATATGACGTCACAAAGCTCTGCCTCCCCCCCCCCCCCGCCAAATCCATATTTCCATTTTGAAAATAAACTATTGTCATTGTAGTGCGTATTTAATGTGGCGCTGCACTCTGATGTTGTAGGAGAAAACATTTATTAAAAAGTCTATTTAATTAAGTAGAACGTGTTGTCTATATTTATTGAAAGTTGCGCATTTCTATGTGACGTCACATCTCTCAAACCCCCCCCCCCTCGTTAAACATCGTCACAAATGTCTGACCCCCACCCCCCCCCCCCTTAGGTGCGTGACTTCATTCATGTACGGCCCCTTAAGTGAACAGTAATACCATACGAAGAGCAATACAAACCGTGTGTAGTAAAACGTCTCATTTGAGTCCACCTCGAGGCTAACGCGTCGCAGTCGGCTTAGGGGCAAGCCGGTGTGGCCCCGTGGCAGTTCTCGTTGGGCCAAGCAACGAAGTTGTTGTCGAACTGAGCCGAGCGGAAGCACCGGGCCGCCTGCAGGTCGCATTCGCAGACCAGCTTGGCGCACTCGTCGTTCTGCTGACCTGTTTGGGGGCGAGAAAGCGAGTGGGTTGACATTCATCATCATCATCATCATCGACCTCCGGTTCAGACGAAGTCTCACCTTTCCCCACCAAGGCTCCGTGCGAAGCGTATCGATGCAACTCTGCTCACGTCGGTTCGCAGATCGATTTGGGCTTGGCACTCGATCGATACACCTCGCCCAGCCCCCCCCCCTTCCCCCCGTGTGATTTATGGTATGTGTGCGGATGTACGTTGAACTTCTTTCATGCCGTACGTAGCCGACCGTGCTAAATCGGGGAAGGACAAAAAACTGAACACCAAAAGCAGGTTCTAAAAGAACGAGTCTTCGATCTAGATTTTCAAAGAAACCAAATAAACCCAGGTGATCACCGGATTGCCGCTCGCTGTCCTTCGGTGAAGCGCACTTCACACCGAACGCTGGCGGCGATGGTGGTGTGGTGGTGTGGGGGGGGGGTGCCTCTCGTTTCAGAACTTTCGCCGTTCGAGGCGAGTGTCCGTCGCGGTACGAGGCACCGTGGGGGTGGCGGGGGGAGTGTGAACCCCCAACAACACTGCAACGCCACCGACTGCACGGCGGACGTCGGGATATCCCGCGACTTCGTTTGAAAATGGGGGGTCGGGGGCATGTGTGTGCAAGGCGTCACGGCCAGGTTTCAACATTTACACCGTATTTACGCAATATTCACACGCATTTCTACGCATTTTCCCCTTGCTAGCAAAACCCGTGTCCGTCTGTGAAACATAGCACCCTTCACCATAGCCCTTGCACTGCAAGAATGGCAAATACAAAATGTACTTATTATTCTTCTTCTTGGTTCTTTCGGTAAAGTCACGTAGAATGGAAATAATAAAATAATAAAACATGACAAAATAATGTTTTATTTTTTTATTTCCATTCTACGTGACTTTACCGAAAGAACCAAGAAAAAGAAAACATAATAAAAAAATGTTTTATTTTTATTATTTTATTATTTCCATTCTACGTGACTTTACCGAAAGAACCAAGAAAAAGAAAACATAATAAAACAATGTTTTGTTTTTATTATTTTATTATTTCCATTCTACGTGACTTTACCGAAAGAACCAAGAAGATGAATCCCTGCAGTCACGAAAGCTTTAAATCGAAAAATGTACTTATTGTTGTTATATCAACTCACTGCACGTGGCCTGCATGCTGTTGCACTCGTAGTTGTAGTATTTCATGTAGGGATTGCAGCCGGCTTTGATCGCCTTCCCATAACAGCAGTCGTGGGCATGACAGCACCTGGTAATCAAAATACACGATATTTTAAGACATGGAATTGTACAGCACAACCGCGAAAACCTACGTGACAGTATACATTCGATCCCGACCCTGATCCTTGTTGTATATTTGGAGTTTGCGTGTCCCTCTCTCCCCGTGGTCTCGTGGATTTTTCTCCGGGTCCTTCGGGTTTTCCCTCCACATTTAGAAACAAACGTTCAGATTACGTGGCTTCTATAATTTCCACGTGACGAGCCACTCCGTTGGGCTGTCATTTGTGGCCAGGTTGCTTCTTAAAAAGAGTGATATAGCTCAGTGGGCCTTACCTGGCAAAATAAAAAATAAAGTATTGTATGGCACCAACATGCCTTTGAAATAACTTGCAGAAAGGAAAATATAGAGTGTAACAAAGATCCCCCGTATAGCCTTAACAGACTGTAGGGGCAAGTGCTGTTAGCAAGCACCTAAGAAGGCTGGAACGGTACACGAGGGGGTGGGTGGCCAGCACCACGCCCGACCGCCTTTGTCTCCCCAGTAGCGATGTTTACACACCACACCAGGTACTCATTTCAGGCTGAGTCGACCTACACACACACACAACCTACCAGTCTGTCTTGTCTACCGGACGTCCGTGGCCTCCCATTCCACAATAGCAGCCGTAGCCATTGTACTCCAGAGGGTAAATGCCCACGACGCACTCGATCAGACGCCCGAACTGCAGAATGTTCCGCCGCTCCTTCACCGGCGACGCTGCGTGTGACGAGTGCCCGCCGGCTGAGACGGGTGAGAGCGGATAACAACCACGTGGTTCAAGTTCAAGTTTATTTATTAGGTGGAGCCCTGTGAGCCATTCGGCTCTTGAATCGGGTGCAACCGCAACAAACAAAAAAACAAAAACATGGACAAGAAAACATCTTAAAGTGACTATGTGACTCTGTGCAAACAGAAAATCCAAGAAAAGACAGCAAAGTATTGCAGAAAAAATTAACCCGTAAAAACAAAGTTTTTCACTATAAATCCTTTATATGCGTGGCAGCTAGAGTTCTCTCGTCCTCTGGCTTGATATGGCTGTCACCTATGGGTCAGATGATTGTCTGCCACCATTAAGCAATTGGTAAATAAATATTTTTAAAAAATTCCCTAAACAGTGTAAAATTTTGGAAAAAAATGTTCACGAAAATTAATTGTCACGCACAACGAGTCTGTGTGCAAAATGTCAGCTCGATTGGATCACGGTAAGTGGGTTAAAAAACGACCGAAAGATTTGCACGGTCGTAAGCAAGCAAGCAAGCACGCAAGCAAGTGAACTTAATATAAAGGATTAAATAAGTATGACCCGTAAAAATAAAGTTTTTCACTCTAAATCCTTTATATGCGTGGCGGCTAGAGTCCTCTCGTCCTCTGGCTTGAGATGGCTGCCACCTATGGGTCAGATGATTGTCTGCCACCATTAAGCAATTGGTAATTAAATATTTAATTTGTTTTCCCTAAACAGTGTAAAATTTTGGAAAAAAAACGAACATTAATTGTCTCGCACAACGAGTCTGTGTGCAAAATGTCAGCTCGATTGGATCACGGGAAGTGGGTTAAAAAACTACCGAAAGATTTGCACGGTCGTAAGCAAGCAAGCAAGCACGCAAGCATGCAAGCAAGCACTTAATATAACTTAATATAAAGGATTTAAAAAGCACCGTACACCAACGCTGTGTGCACAAATCCCAGTGGGATGCAGGTCGGTTAACTTCTGGGACGCTCCTGGGTAGGCAGCCCCAGTCTCAACCCCGTAGCTGCTCCCTCGGAAAGGACACGACCCCCGAAATGTGACGACGACGATGCCGTGGCGTCTCGCCACGCTTTACTTGAAAAGGCACCCACTCACCCACCCACCCCCCAGTAGCAGCCGTCCCTGTGCCTACTATAGATTTCCACACGATCGGGGCCACTTTGTTGAGCTATCATTTGTGGCCAGGTCGCTTCTCAAAAAATAGCGATTATAGCGCAATGTGCCTTACCTGGTAAAAAGAAAACAAATATATATTTTTAAAGTTTCGTTTTAACCCCAGCACCTGGTCTGCAAATAGACAATGAGTGTAGAAGGAAAAGGCAATAATTGCAATGTATAACCCCGAGGACTTTGATTCAAACAATGTAAAGGCAACGTAAATTTTACGCAATCTAACCCAAAAACCTTTATTGTGGATGATATTGGTCGCGAAAGCCTAAGTGTTAAATTGAAGGCAACGGTTGGTAGATAAAGCATATTTGTGAAAGGCAATTTTAGGGCAATCGTCACCAATTGACACTGGAAACGCGTTGACTGTGAACAGCTACGACAACCTGGCAATGGCAATAGATGACCGAGTTTAGTGCAGCCAATGAAAGCGGAGTTTGTTGAAAAGTGTGATGAACAATGACTGGTCCGACAGAGCGCACAACCTTGGGAAATCATGTGACGTTTGTGATTTTCTTTGGGAAGTTGTCATCCGAGTGCCCCCCGCCCCCTAGAGGGAACAGCATGCATGCTTGTCCAGATTCAGGCAGCTATTTTGTTTGACACAATAGAACATGATGCAGCAACAATTGCAGTTGCCAATTGCCAGCAACAATGGCCATAAAATTGCACTACTTTATCATGGCCTTAATGTTGTCCGTTCAAATTCTGGCCAGGGGTTGGCACACAGCCCATCGTCGCTCCAATTTAAACAACTGATGTAGTGAAACTGCGTTGGCAGTGGTCCAGAAGCACAGATAACAAAAACAAAAACCACACATTCGTCAATAACGCTGCCTTCAAAAGAAAAGTAAAAACAGGTTGACATTTCGTGAAATGGCCCTTCAAAGCACATATGTCACACATGTAGAGTCTGGCCTCTATATATAGTAAAGAAGGGCAATTTTGCTGAAATATCGTCAATTGTATACTTGTTTCTTTTTAAGGCAGTGTTCTCGACAAGTGGACTGCGTTTATTTTTCCATCATCCCTACAGCTTTGGAACGTGGTTTAGATTATTTGGCAACCATAAATTCCCACCTATAAAAAGGCCACTTCGATCAGTTGTGGCCAGGTCACCTCTGAAGAAGAGCTATTATCTCAGTGGGCTTTGCCTGGTAAATACAATAGTTTCGTTTTTGTTTTAGTTTAGGCTCAGGGCCACCAAAAAGGGACACACACGGTCTCGTTATTGTTTGGACAAGAAGATACTTTGACGTCCTTTGACGTCTGCTCTATTCTGGTGAGACTTTTCAAATCACCAAAAGGTGTTTTCGGACAGGTCATTTGCATCGGTGTGTGGATAACAATTCACGTGGGCACGTTAGACGGGCAACGTCAAAGAGCGGCGTTATTGTGAGGATAATTTATAATTACTTAATGGTTGTGTTTTTTTTATTGAAACCATCCTAATCTTCAATGACACCGTACAAATTGCCCACTGCCCAGGCAATCGCCGACATAAATGGCACGTGTAAACATGCTCCCTTCGAAAGCAATTTTGTTAATTGTATAGTTGGAACAGCCGATCTTGACCGCTTCTAATCGAGGTAATAATGTCGAATTATGCGCCCAATCGTTTCCGCACTTGCTCCATAAACAACCCAATATTCCACTTTTACCAATTCAATGTAACGAGCCACTTCAGATATGATTGTACAGTACGTGGTTTAAAAAAAAAAGAAAAACTGAAATCCGCAATTGGCAGCGAACAATTGTCAGCAAGCCGTGGGCTACGACGTTGGAATTGCTGAAATGCCAAAACCCATCGTTGTATCATCGTCGTTACCAATCAATCCGAAGTTTAACGAAGGGCTCCTTGAGCAACTGCCATCTCTCACGTTCCTACCACGGGAAAGTCGTTAAGCAACCTGCACACCGGCCAATCAGCATTACGAATACAATCACAAAAGTGACAGTTTACATTTCAGCATTGGAAATGTTGATAGTTGGTAACGTTGATGGATCTTAAACCTGATACCTGTGTCTGGAGAAGCTCAGGGCTGCAATGAAATGGCAGTGTTTGTCATGCGGTTGTGATAAAATCGAGAAATGTCAGAGATACGGATGGCAATGCTTTAGAATTAGCAAATAAACATGCATGCATCTAAAATATCAAAGTATTCTACGAAAAAATATAGAAATAAATTAACAAGCGTTAAGAGATATATACAATATAACTAATAAGAAGTAACTACACTAACATATTTCGATTTAAAGCTTTCGTGACTGCAGGGATTCATCTTTTTGGTTCTTTCGGTAAAGTCACGTAGAAGGAAAATAATAAAATAATAAAAATAAAACAATAAAATAATTCTCACGACGTTTCGGCCACAACGCTAGCAGCCGTCTTCAGGTGGAGAACAGGTCTGTCGAGAGGACATAGATAATAACAACCTGATTTTCTACACTCGATACCCATTGATGTAATGTATGTTACAAATATATGATACTGGAGTAACATATATCAGTGTGACACCAGTCAGCCTAAACCATCATCCCTTCGGGGTGATTGGAATCAGTAGTACCATTCTCTGGAACGTTCGCGGTCGATTCTATATACTGGCCCCTGGCATATGAACGTGGAATTTCCGTCGCTGTCTTCGTGGCTGCCAATCGAGAACGAGGCCACCCAGTAACACTCACTTTTTTTTACCAATACATTTAAAGTGGTATCATGTGTAATATTAACATTGTGTGCATAAGCCAATGCGTATACGGTACTGAATGTTCTAACACAGTTATATTATTCACATTATTTGTATTGTAATAAACAAAAACATCGCTTCTTTCTAATCATTGAGATAAGGAAATGAGTATAATTGTATCATATCACCATATAATTTATTACATGACAAAATATTCCTTAATGAACATAAACAAAAACACATCGACAATATTCATATATTTTTAGACATACATCAGCAGTGTTATTCAAAATTAATAAATTCATCAAAATTAACAACAAGCAACAATAACACTGATATATAAAAACATACAGGCCTCGCCATCACTCTCACAAGCGACATCATTGCCACTGCCAATCCGGATGAAACCCAACATCCCCACGGCGAACACCATCGCATCCTCCCTCGGAGACGGCATACTCTACCTTGGGTGAATATGAAGGCAAGCAGGAGCACGTTGAGCCACACGGACATGCTTGCTGATTCCTGGGGAGATATATTGGCGCAGACAGCCCTGATTAAACCAGATAACCCTGATGGAGAGATGCCGCTGCCGCCGCTCGTTATAAGCTCTTCGCTAGCTTTGCTCAGTTTGCCCAATCTGCAATTGCAACAGCTCCCCGGGTCTATTATCACAAATTGCAGCGTAAGCGTGCGGCACGCGTCGTGTACGTGTGATGTTATGCTTGCTGGCAGTATCAACCCTGCCTGGCTTGCTGCCCCGCACACATTTTTATTTTGCAGTTTGTGCACAAAAAAATACAGAATCGTGGCCTGGTTACACGAACAAAGGTTTGCAAACGGTCGCTTCAAACGTGTTCGTTGTCCGTTCCGTGGTGGCCGGATCGGCAGCAACGGAGATTCGTCCGCAGAGGTGTTGCCCCCTGGTGGGAAGAGTTGATCATCGCATGCCACCTGGGTGCGCACCTTCGCTTGGCTCGTTGGTCATTGAAGACGGGCAATGTTCGATCTTGAAATGCCACGCGTGGCAATGAATAGACTCTGCTCGGGGATGTACTCCGTGGGATCTATCCGGGGTAGAGTTCCGGAAAATGACCCTCTTCCGCCCTCCCACCTCCTCCTAGGGCAGGGATCGTTGATATATAATTACCTATTCTTTGAGTCTTTCGGTAAAGTCACGTAGATAGAAAAAATCTAAGAAAAATATCACGACGTTTCGATCGCAACACAAGCGGTCTTAAATTTTTTATTATTATTAATGGAGTGGATTATTAACTTTATTTTTGTGTCCTGGTCACAGAAGCAAAGTTTGTGGGAAATAATAGCCATTTTCTGTACTTTTGACGCATAAGCAATTAAAACATAACACTTACTACCTCGGTAAAAATGTTTTTGTTACACAGTGAATTATCGCCGCTGTAAGTCTATGAGCAGAAACCCAAATGCATTGTATTGCATCTACTGAACTGTAGATGGCGACTGATGAATGCTAAATTGAGACTTTTCTGGAAGGTATGATTTTATTATTAGTCGTGTAGCTGTGATGGATTTAAGTGGCGTGAACTATAAACAAAATACCTCTTTGTACATCCGTGTAAATGTAAACGTGAGCTCGGACCAGAGTATTGCTCGTGTTGAATCAATGCAGCTAAAATTATCCACTGTGAAAAATATACTTTGTTTTACTTAGTTTTATGTGGAGAGACTATGGAGGAGACGTATTTGCCTCCTTCATATGCCTGTTTGTATGGCTGAGATAATACACATTGATGGATTCTAGATTTGAAGCTTTCGTGACTCCAAGGATTCATACTCTTACGTTTTTTCGGTAAAGTCACGTAGGTAAAAATACATAATAATAAATGAAAATAATAGAAATAATAATAGAAATAAAATAATAAATCACGACGTTTCGGAGGCAACACAAGTCTCCGTCATCAGGTGGGACCGTCACAGCTAGATTTACTCTATCAAGTGAGGAAACATTACAAGAGACAAGCTTTAACTTGTATTTAAGGGCTTGTCTCTTGGAATTTTGCCTCACTTGATACAGTAAATGTAGCTGTGACGGTCCCACCTGATGACGGAGACTTGTGTTGCCTCCGAAACGTCGTGATTTATTATTTTATTTCTATTGTTATTTCTATTATTTTCATTATTTATTATTTATTTTACCTACGTGACTTTACCGAAAAAACCTAAGAGTATACATTGATGGAATTACATATACGCCCCAACCATTCGTTTGTATTTGAATTGCATTCATTCAGCGTGTGTGTAATGTCCGAGCCATGCGATAACATCCTGGGTTAGATTAAAATGATCATTTATTTTATTGAGTGTAAGCTCCCATTGATCTAATATCTTCAACTAATCCACAAGAAACACATCAGACCACTCACAATGCGGTACCGTGCGGTACATTACAACTCCCCAGATTACCTTCTGTTATCCAGATAATGGTTCATGCATTAACTGTTGACATTTAACATCCGTAATTGTTTCATCTGTAATTTTATAATTAACGACATGTTTCCAACAACTGTAATAACCGAGCACGGTGTTGAATGGGAATGCACCTGCAGCATCGTATACTCACTGCTTGTGGGACCAGAGACGATTATATTCTTCTAGATTTGAAGCTTTTGTGACTGCAAGGATTCATATTCTTAGGTTTTTTCGGTAAAGTCACGTAGGTAAAACATCAAAATTAATAAAAATAAAATAAAATAAAAAAATAAAATAAAATATTTTATTATATTTTTATTAATTTTGATGTTTTACCTACGTGACTTTACCGAAAAAACCTAAGAATACGATTATATTCTGTTGAACGAGTGCCCGTGCTCATTTGTTCACGTGAAATGGTTGTGTGGGAAGGAGACTCACGCGCAAAGTCGCTGACCACGTGTTGGTCACGTTAAAATGATGCAAATAAATCTTGAGGTTGCAAATGCAATTATGGGTGAGCAACTGGTCCACAACTTGTGTGTTACAACTCTTGCCAAATAAACGTACCTCACTTGGAACCCTTCCCACGGTGACTCACACTGGAACAACAACCACCGTAGGGACGAACAGGGCTTCAATTAAGATTAGGTGGGATGCAATGTTTGCATTTGTAACGATAATATATACCTACAAAATTAGCTTTGAACTTAAAAACAACAGGAATCACCGCGTGAACTGCATGTCACGATGACATTACCATTATTTCCCTTTTATGCAGACAGCCTTGTAATGGCCAACCAACTCAAAAGAAATTTTAAAAAATACATTAATAACAACACAATAGTACAGCCAATGGAAAACATTTACATGAACGCGGCCTGTTCGTGTACACGTGGTATTTAAAAAAATCTAGACAGCAGAATGGGCACAAACCAACTGCATACCAGTTTCATCATATTTAGGGCTCGTCAGTACAGTAAAGCCCTCCCCACATGGACTGCAGCGACACATCTGGCAGAGTCTCAGAACAACAATGTTTACCAACAAATCAATGATTTCACGGCCCGTTATCAATCCACCGCGAGAAGAATACCACATTAGCCATGCCGGTTGTGTGACTGCACCTCGCCACACACTGGCCCAGTGTAGGGGGGGTCAGTGAAGGTGCGCCCCTGAATGTTTCATATATTACGAAACTTAAAAAAACAAAATTACCAGGTAAGGCCCACTGAGCTATGAAGACTTTTTTCAGAAGCGACCTGGCCACAAATGGCAGACACATACTCGAAAGCCAAGTTGATTCTAAATGTGGAGGGGAAAACCTGGAGAGCCCGGAGAACAATTCACGCGACCGCGGGTAGAACTTACAAACTCCAAATATACAGCAGGCGTTAGGGTCGGGTTCGAACCCACGACCTCCTGCATACCAGGCGAGGTAGTTAACATCTCCTAGCCACCGTGGCGCCCTAAAATGTATGTTAAGCTGTGATTGGGAGTCCAACTCAGGGGTTTGCAATCATAGAGCAATGCCCTAACCATTGTGCCATGCTCCACTCCTAAAACAAATTGATAATCATTTTCATATAAATATCTCGAAGCACAGACAGTCCCCGGGTTGTGGAAGACCAGGACTTACGGAAATCCGCCTTACGGAAATTCTGCCGTAAATCATGTTCCAAAAATTCATTACGCGGAAATGTTTGCGTCACATTAGCGCAAGTAGTGCAGCGCGGCGAGGTTGCAGATGAATACCGTGGAGCTCGAGTTTCACTCGGATTAAGGTAAATGGAATTTATTTAGATTTTTCAGGGGAGAGGGGTGAAAATTGTTCAGCTTCCGACATACGAAAAAATCGGGTTAAGGGTCGCTCTCGGGAACCTAACTCCCTTCCGTAACCCGCGGACTGCGCATAGTGACTTCTTCCTCCATTGCTATCAGCCAACACGTTCCTTCGGAGCGGGCAGGTAGGCACTTGGTTGGACAGCGCATTCGTGCGATCCGTGTCACGCGGCGCAAGCTGCGTGGGGCGGCGCGTCACGTGGTGCTGAGCCCGCCCGAAATACAAATCGAGGGTGTGGCTATGCACGACAGACAGACAAATAATCCCTGGTGGGCAGTGTGGAACCTGTTGTTCCTACCTGTATTACACAACATGTTTAGCATCGACTGCCATGAGCATTGTGATATCATTGTTCATTATTATTTTATTGACATCAAAATAATATTTGCAACGTACAAAAGTATAATCGTTATCAACTGTTTGTCTTTATTCACGGTACAATATTTACAAAAAAATGTTTACCAAAAAAGGAAAATTACATCTAATAGCCATCATATATTAATCTAAGTGTATACACTTTTAGTTTTTCTCATGAACATCTCGTCACTAGTTCTATTTACAAATGCCATAAATGGCACTGTAATGAGCGTCTCTAATTTTAACATCATTAAAACCCCATAGTGTTTACCATCAACACTGTGGCAGATGCAGTACTACACTAAGTATGGTACTTTACAACATCGCAAATCCATCACATATCCGCACTGACCGATTCACTACCCACACGCATTGCTGTACCGAATTGGTGTGTGGTGCACCTTTCCACTTCACAAAAACCAACCATAGATTTTCACAAATGTGCTTGTGCACGGCTGCCAAAGTAGAATTACAAAACATGACTTTTCACATTTTCAAATGTGGCCATGTGTTTTTCACGTCGCATTTGCTTGCTTCTGAAGCACAGCAAAACTTTTTTCCCCCACGTTCAAAGCAGTTTGCGCTTCACGTGTTGTTCAGTAATCCTATTCGTGTATCGCGGTGGAACTGTCATTTTCCAGGGATGTTCACATATCTGACAAATATCTGAGCATAAACCATCACGCAAACTCCAGTCGGTCATCCTCGCAGCGTTTTTTTGCTAGCCATCGAAAAAAACCGGTCACTGCATCACTCGCTTTGTACACATATATGCATGTGAACTTATTTCGCACTTTATTTAGCCAACCTTACTAATCGGAGGTGCGGTTAGAAGGACGTCTGGAACGCTCTTCTGATATTAGGAAGCCACTGGAGCGATGCACTTTTAAATCTAGATTGAAAACTAATTTCTTCAGAACTCCTTGATGTGTTTAGTTTGTTGTCCTTCCCCAGCATTTCCGATTAGCACGGTTGGCTACGTACGGTGCGAAAGAAGTTCAACATACACACATTTTCACTTATCCCACCGATATTGGCAGTCTCCAATCGTTTGTGATTACCTCCCTGTAAGAAACAACACCAGATGTCGATTTGCCATGCTGGTGGTATATTTAAAGAGGCTCAAGGACTCCAGTCGTGGGTTAAAGCTTCCCGTGAGATTAACCGTGGGTTTGTGAGAAAAGACTGTATAAAAAGTCACTGTTGTGTGTGTGTATGTGTGTCTCTGTGCTTTGGGAATAATATATCAGCTCCCAAA